ATCTGGTTTTTATTTTTCTACTAAGGGGACATCGAAGGAACCATGGCATTTACAGTTTTTCAGCAAACTTGGCAGTAGTGGTGTTTATGTGTCCCTGGCAGGCAAAACAAAACAAAACAAAACAAAACACAGAGCACCAACTAGCTATGGATTCTGCTTTAAGCCTAGCACAGCAGGAGGGCCCCAAGACCCGAAAGTGCTCTGTGCAGATGAAGAGCAGAGTAGGATGTGCTGGGTGACTGCAGTTAGATTGCTTAAGAATGGCATGCAGCTGTACCAGAATCGTATGCATCCATATCAAGGCAGAAGTGGCTGCAGTTCTCAGTGTATCACCCACGAGAAGTATATCAGAATTCCCTGGCAGCAATGGACTTCTCAGGTCAGAAAAGCAGAGTGATGGAGTCCCACTGAAGCCCTTTCAGTTGCTGTTGAAGAAGTACTCGCCTGGAGGCAAAAAGGATGTTTACGCCTGGGGATCCATGGTAGCCCCACGGCCTCCCCACAGAGCTCAGCAGCAAACATGGCTATCCATCGGTATCAGCCATGGTTGCACCACAGAATTTCTAGAAATGAGGCTCAGAGACTGATTATTCAGCAAGGACTCACGGATGGAGTTTTCTTGGTACGGGATAGTCAGAGTAACCCCAGGACTTTCGTACTGTCAATGAATCATGGACAAAAAATAAAGCACTTTCAAATTATACCAGCAGAAGACGAGGGTGAGATGTTCCACACTCTGGATGATGGCCACACCGGATTTACAGATCTAATCCAGCTGGTGGAGTTCTACCAACTCAACAAGGGTGTTCTTTGCAAGCTGAAACATTATCGTGCTAGGATTGCTCTTTAGCCAATCCAAAAGTGACTTGTTAAACTATTGAAGAAAAAGGACTCAAGGGGAAAAAATTAAAGAGAGACCATAAATAAGGGTGAAAACTATCAAATGGTGAAAAGAATGTATTTCACCTACAAGTTGCAAAATATAGTTTGTGCGTTACAAATAAGCAAAGACTTGGATCGGCATTATATTCATCATTTAAAATTTATTAGTTAAGGCTGGGGATTTAGCTTAGTGGTTTCACCGCCTGCCGGGCAAGCGCAAGGACCCGAGTTCGATCCCTGGTACCAAAATAAATAAATAAATAAAATTTATTAGTTAAAATTAAACCTTAGGAAAAAAGAAAGAAGCGGCCACCAGCCTTGTGCAGACTTCCTCTAGGGGCCCAGTCCCTGTCCCCACCGCAGACACCGCTCAGCGTGCGGGGCGGAGGCAGGGTGGGACCTTCCTGCAGCCAGGCTATGGGGTGAGAGAGGCCACAGCTGTCCCTGGGCTCCTGTTGCCGTAGTGTATATCCTTAGCTGTTCCTGCCGTGGCTGATCCTGAGGGAGGAGGAGAGGCTCCTCCAGCTCACAGCTCCAGGGGCTTCAGTCCCCGGCCGACATCTCCACTGCTGCCAGGCCTGCCTGAGGCAGAGGTGTCAGGGCAGAAGGAAAGGCTCACGGGCTCACGGCACTGCAGCCTTCGGGGACAGCAAGGGAGAGGCAGAGGGAGGGCTGGGGCCAGACAGGTCCCAGGGTCACCGATGATGACCACGCCCTTCCCTGCGCCCCACCTTCTCCAGAACCGCCCTCTGCGTCAGGTCAGTGCCTTTTCCATCCTGCCACCCCTGAGCCCCTCTGAACACTGCCCCGGGGGATGCTGTGGGCCTGCACCACCACCTGGAGGATGAGGACCGTGTGTGCAGGACATGCAAGGGGAGCTCCGAGTGGTCCCACTGAGTCCACGTCCCGGGCTCCCCCAGCCCGACACGTCACTTCTGTTGGCCACAGGGCAGGTGCGCATCGCACAGCGTGACTCCCAGATGCTCACATTGGAGGTGACCGTGGGCAGGGCAGGGCAGGGCAGTGGCATTGTGAACGTGGCTGCCAGTCCCAGGGTCCAGCAGTGCCCTGTGGCTGAGGACAGCCGGGGGTGAGCTCCCAGGGAGGGGAGTGTCTGAGCCCCGCCTGGGTCAGGGTCAGTGTGGGGACAGGGCAGGAGGAGGTGAAGCTCGGCCTGCAGGCATCGGGAGCCGCAGGATGAGGGTGTCTGTGGCAGCCTCCCATTGGTGCTTGGCCTTAGAAGGACACGTTGCAGTGTGACACTGCTTGCAGCAGGACCCTCCAGCTGCAGCCAGCCTGCGTGAATGGCCCTGGACCTCAGAGCTGTGCTCCTGGGGGCTGCCGCGGGGTCCTGAGGACAGTGGGTCTGTGAGGGAGCCCTGTCTACCTCCTCACTGGCCAGAAGGTGAGGGACAGCAGGACTCTTGTCCCAGAGCTAGGCAGCACGGTGTGAGAACAGGTGGCCTTCCCACCCCTGCCGTGAGCCCCGGGCCGGGCTGCGTGCCGGTCAGACGCATGTCCAGGCGGTAGCATGACCACTCAGCTCGCAGGAGGGTGACCGTCCGGCCTTGGTGTCCTCACCTTCAGCAGGGAGCCTCAGCTCATTCACAGAGTGCAGGGACCGACCTCTCCTCTGAAGTCCCCGGGCATCACTGGCTGCAGGGCCTCTGTTCCTCCTGGTGGCACTGCCCAGCCTCAGTTTCCTGGCCCCATTGCTGGCCAGTGGTGGGGGGAGCCGCCCTGCCCCGTGCTGGGCACACCTGTTCAGCCTTCTACCTTTGAGTTTCTTGGGAGCACAGAGCTGCAGGCATTGTTGATGGCCCCCAACGGTCCTGACCCTCGAGGCTTGGCACCCTTCGAGGCCATGGGGAGGCGTCCCTGGGCCTGACCCTGCTCCTCTCCTGGTGGGACACTTGCTGCTACATTTGTTTGCTACCTTTGCTGTTGTGCTGACCACAGGGAGCTGCCTGGCTGCAGTGTTACACCCTGTGCCTTCATTGTTCTCCCTGGGATCAGCGCAGAGGGGACAGCACTCCCCATCTGTGAGCACAGATGCTCGGGGAGTGGCCCTGAGCAGCCTTGCATGGGCCTGTCCTGCCTGGTCATCCCTGTGGCCTCCTGCGACCTGAGGGGGCCACTGTCCCTGCGTGTCCATAGCCTCTCCTGGGCCTCCCCCTCCACAGCTCTGTGAGCTGTCCCAAGTCACTCCCTGCCTCAGTGCTGCAGCCCTGACCTGGATGGGAAATGGAGCCTCGGGATTCTGGGGGACAGGAGGGTGCAGGACAGACTCCTTGCTCATCCTGAAGCGCTGGCCCTTCCAACTCCAGGTGCCTCATCAGAACTGTGCAGGCAATGGCTGCTACTGCCCCTGCCGCTCGTGACAGCTGGACATCTGTGCAGTTTGACCACCTGCACAGATGGCCCACCCACAGCGTGCACACAGGGACACGTGGTCAGCGCTTCCACTCGTCAGACCCCCGCCTGGGGTCTCCTGAGCCTCCAGGGGTGGTTGTCCATTCGGGAGGGCGACAGGACACACTTCTCGGCACCATGGTGGTGTTTTAGGCAGCTAAACTAGATAGAAATTCATGTACAGTCAGAGAAGGGCTGGGCTCTCAGGGAAGTCTGCAGAAAAAATGCAGACATCAGAATTGTGGCTGGAGGTGCATCTGAAGAAGGCCAGGCCTCAAGATACTGATGCAGTGGCCAGGCCTGCAGGCCACCTAAGGGAGAAGCAGTAACGTGCATTTCCACAGTAACGGGCATCCCCTGGTCCAGGAAGTGTAGACAGGCATCAGTCTCCCGGGTGATGACCAGAGCATCAGACCCTCCCTTCCCAAAGATACCTTTGTTCCTTCGATGCTCCCTTTCTGCGTGGCCCACGTCCCTGTTGGATCAATACTACCTGCGTGGTTGTGCTTGTGATCTTACTGGTTGATTATGGTTTGACCCACGGTGTACTCAGTCCTTGAATTTGTACCCTCGTGGTTTTTCTCTGTAAAACATTCTTAGAGAAGTGGCCTCAGTGCCAACCCACTTTCAGGTCCCCTCCTGTCTCCCGACTCTCTCATTAAATTTATTCTGCTCTTAACCCCTGTTGTTCCTTAGAATTCATTCTTTGATTTTGGGGGACACGAATTCAGAACATCTGACATCTAGCAGGTTGGGAGTTACATTTTCCCTGTGTCGTGGGATTGTGCTGTGAACTAGTGAGACAGTCATTGTGTGCGGGGCTCACACTGCTCAGGCAACCCCGTGTGTGCCCGTGCATCATTGTGTTTGTGTCTTGGTTAAATAGCACGAACCCAGGAGTCAAGCGCATGGTGCTTGCAGGGAGGACATGCAGCTCTGGGCATGGTGTCTGAGCAGCTGTCCCCTGCCCCAAGTATGTGACAGGGATGCAGGGCCTGGCAGCACCAGAGGAGCTCCAGGGGGTGCCCAGGGCAGAGTGGGTGGAGGCTCTTACCTGGTGGGCACGAGGTGGGCTGCCGGAGCCCTCGGTGTCCAGTGAGCAAGGGCTCCGCGTAGCTGCCAGCTCACCTGAATTTGCAGAACTCACAGGTGCCGCATCCACATGCACCTGATGGAGCAGGTGCAGCTGGGAAAATTGGGAAATTCCCCTGGCTGTCTGGTGGAAGCTGGGCTGGTGCCGGGTGGTGTTGGTGGCCCAGGGCAGGAACGAGGGGATGCGTGGGTATCTAAGCAGGGTACAGGAGGGGCTGGGGCAAGCTAGCAGGACGGCATGGTTGTGAGCTGCTGGTGTCAACAGCTTTTCTCACATTTGGCTTTTGTGACACTGCGGGGAAGGACGTGCCAGGAGAAAGGACCAGGCGTGTGGAGATGCTGATCGGGAGCTGTGTCTCTGTTTACGCGACGGCAGCTGAGAAAGTGGTCAGCGAGGCTCCTCCTCCAGCACATGTCCTTCACAGCTGTGGGGCTTCCGCTGAAGGACGCTGCTTTCTGCCCCAGGCCCCCGTGGGAAGGGAGCAAAGACAGGAGGGGGGGGCTGGGCGAGGCGACCCTCAGCCGGCGGGTGCCGAGCAGGCATCCCAGTGTCATTTCCGGGAGGTTCGCAGTGACCGCAGTGCCGAGTAACACGTACGCCTTTCCTTCTGCAGGCCGCCACACGCTGAGCCGCGGGTGGCGGTGCCCACTTCGGACGTGACGGGCAGCAGTTCCTGACCAGGCACTGTGCAGAGGCTGCGGCCCGAACATGGACCCGGGAGAGGCACCTCGGCTCACCGCAGCTCCTGCAGGTAGGGTAGGGTGTCCCTTCGGGGTGCTGGGGCCTGGGGCTCCACACACCCAGTGCCCGAGCTGTTGGCCCTGGTGAGGCAGTGAGGGTGTCCCAGGAGAAAGGAGGGTGCTGACCGCTGCTGCGAGGCACTCGGAGTGCGTCATCTGCTCAGTGGTCCAGACTGTGACTGGGGACCACCAGGTACACAGTTAGGTCACTGCCGAAAGAGTGTGCACTCTGCAGGTCCCGTGTGGGCTGTCCGTGTCCCAGGGTTTCCTGGTGTCCACAGGAAAGGGCCATGCGACTCAGGGTGGCTGCTGGATGCCATCTGGGCCTGGGGCAGCGTTGGGGACTCTGTGCCAGCAACAAGCAGGTCTGAGGATTCCCGTGGCATGGGCCAGAGAGCCCAACCTTCACTGTGGGTCCGTCCTGCGCTGCCTGCTGTGTGGACACCCTGGCCTGGTTATGCCTGGGTCCCAGGAGGGCAGCTGAAGGTGAAGCCATCCTCAGACTACGTCAGGGACCAGGAGACACCCTCAGTGACCAGGAGACACCCTCAGTGACCCAGGGTGATGAGTAGTAGAGACAGGAGCGCCAGTAGGAAGGGCCAAGGGGGGCTGGCCGGGCCACGGCACCCCGGGCAGAGGGAGCTCTGTGCTGCTTCTGCTCCTCGGGGCTCAGAGGTCTCGCCGTGCAGCGTGGCCTGCTCCTCAGCTGGCTGTGCGCCTCCTGTTGCTCTGGGAGAAGCCACTGGGGCCCTGTCACACTGAGGAGACTGTTGCAGTGTTGGGGAAGAAGCGTCACAGCCCGGCTCTGAATGGGAGCCCGTGGGACCCACAGCCCCTGGCACCTGCCATGTCCCTCCTCCCACGGCCACAGGCTTTGTCTGTCCTCTGTCCTGAGCCAGTCCTAGCTCCTGTGCTCTCAGAGCAGCTGTCCCGTCCCTGGGCAGACCAGGGTGAGACCCCACCTGCTGTCCTGGCAGGCATGGGTCGCAGCTCCGTCGTGGGGCAGAGGCCCCTTCCTGGCTGACAGCTGGGTGTGGCTGTTGGTCAGGACTGGAAAGTGGCAGCGGCTTGCTCAAAGCCCCTGACGACAGGTACTGGCTTTCCTCACAGGCACTGTGGCAACAGCTGCGTGTCTCAGCCATGGTTCAGTGGGTTCGGTGCCGTTTTAGTCCCGGCAGCGCTCCGTCACCAGGCAGAATGCCCAACACCTGCGGGCTGAGGGGGCCAGGTTTGCACTGGCTCAGGGTGGTCCACAGCCACCCGGCTGCGAGGCAGAAGCAGCAGGATGAAGCTCAGGAAGGAAAACCACCCTTAGCGTGGCGGCCGAGAAGCAGGGAAGGAGGCCAGAGCAGCCCTTCCGGCCGCACCCTGCGCCTCCTCCTGGAGCAGCACAGTCGCTGGGCAGCAGCCCCTGGCTCCGTCTCCTTCCACCTCTGAACGCCGGGCACACTGCCGAGGTCAGGATGCCATGCTGCGCTGCGGGCCTGCACCCTGTCCCCTGTGTAATGTCAGCTTACCTCAGAGAAAAGCAGGGAGGGCATTGGGTTTCTTAAACCAAAACACTTGTGAACGTAGTCTACTTAGTATTTTTATATGTAATATCCTGTGCTTGAGACTCAGAGGGTTCTAACGCTGTTTCTGAACGTTCTAATTGCAGGATGCGTACTATTATTTTTCTTGAAAAAAATTAAAGAAAATGACTTAATGATTTGAGATTACAGCAAATACAGTGTTCTGGTTCTTAAAACATACAGTCTGCTGACATTTTTCTTTTAAAATTCTGCATTAAGAAAGACTTTTAAAGTCTGCTTGTGCAAAATGGGCATCTGAAATGAACAGACACTTCTCAGATGAAGAATTATAAAAAGCAAATAAACATATGAAAAAATGTGTAACATCACTGGTCATTTGTGAGATGCAAATGAAAACAACACTGAGATTCCACCTCACTCTAGAAAGAATGGCTGCTATCAAGAAATCAACCAATAACAAATGCTGGCAGGGCTGTGGGGAAAAAGGAACCCTGCTCCACTGCTGGTGGGAGTGCAGACTGGTGCAACCACTGTGGAAATCAGTATGGAGATACCTCAAAGAACTAGGGCTAGAGGTCCCATTTGACCCAGCTATTCCCCTGCTAGGTATCTTCCCAAAAGAATTAAAAGCATCATACCACAGCGATATATGTGCGCCCATGTTCACAGCAGCACAGTTCGTAATAGCTAAAACTTGGAAACAGCCCAAATGCCCATCAACTGGAACCTGGATAAAGAAGATGTGGTTTTTTAATAAAATGGAGTACTACTCAGCCATAAAGAACGAGAAGCTAGAGACATTTATAGCTAAGTGGATGCACATTGAGGCAATACTCTTAAGTGAAATAAATAGGACACGCATGTGTAAATACACTGTTTCTCAGGTGTGAGAAACTGAAGGTTGAAGTAAGGACTGAGATGTATAATGGATGTTGGGAACTGGGAAGAAAATGTTCAAATAGGATAGGGAACAAGAAAAAAAGTGAAAATAGAATTAAAAATGGAAACAAAGCTTTATATAGGGAGGGAAGGGGGTTTGAGGGGGGAGTGGGATAACAAAATTTATTTTAAAAAATTCCTTGCAATCGGGGGAAAAGTCCACCTGTGCGTAGGTATGCAGTGGGGGGTGGAGACTGAGGGCTTCTGCCCCGAGCGGTGCTGGGATCCCTCACACCTGGGGCCTTGGACGAGGCCCAGCGCACCCTGAGTCACCTTTGCTGTGCACTCCGACCTGGGGGAAGGTCACAGGCAACAGGCCCAGCCGGTGTGGGGCGGGGGCTCCCCAGGCTCCCCAGGCTCCCCAGGCCGCAGCTGGCTCAGCTCTTCTGAGTCAGTGGTTTCCTAATTGACCTCCAGGTCCCTGCTAGACCTGTTTAAAGTGTGAATCAGAGGGGTCTTCTCTCTCTCCCTTTTCCTCCTGTCCTCTCCTATGTCCCAGAACGAGCCCCACCCCTAGCCCTCCCCAGCCCTCTGCCTGGGCTGAAGGTGCAGACCTGGTGCCTGGAACAAATGCCGCATTGTAACTGATGTTGTCTTAAACTTTAGAAAACGAAGTGAAATATGACACCAGTAACAAAGAGGCTGAAGAGGGAGAGCAGTTCGACTTTGACAGTGGGGATGAAGTCCCTGAAGCAGACCGCCAAGCCCCGCCCCAGCCGGGCGCCTGGGGTGCAGGAGGGGGTGCAGCCCAGGGTCCTGCCAGCGCATCCCCCGAGGAGGGTGAGTCCCCGTGGCGTGGCGCAGCGCGGCTTCTCCATGGAGTGGCTGAGTTTCTGACTCCGTGCAGTACTGGGCTCGCAGTTAGCAGTCTCTTCGCCATGTGGTTCTACATTGCGGGCAACCGTGTAGACCCTTTCTGATAGGAGCCCTCTGCCCTGTCGCTGTGCTGCATGGACAGGTGCCGTGGCTGGGCCAGCTGGGAAGGGCATGGGGCTTTGACCTGGGCCAGCCCGAGCTTCTCTGTCCCGGGCAGACTTGGTGGGGTTTCCCAGCTTGTGTCTCTGAGAACCACCAGGCAGGGTCTCATGTGTGCCCAGGTGCCACTGGCCCCACTCTGCAGTGTGCCCTGTGGCCCCTGCAACAGTCTGGGAATGCCGGGTCCCTCTCCAGAGGGTGAGGGCTGCCCGGTCCTTGCTTGGCCCTTGCCTGGCCCTCTCCACCGTGTGGCTGACTGTCCTGTCCTCCAGGAGGTGACAAGGGACCCGGAGCAGAAGCCTTCGAAGTGGCAGAACCTGCCAAGCTCTTGGTCCCAAAGGTGAACCCGTACTCTGTCATCGACATCACGCCCCTGCAGGAGGATGCACTGCCACCCCCAGACCCAGCCACTGAGGAGGACGGTGTGGGTCCGCACGTGCCCAGCGGGTATTTGGTGCCGGTTCCCTGTGGCTACGCTGTCCCCTCCAGCCTGCCCATGCTGCTGCCTGCCTACTCAAGCCCTGTCATCATCCGCACCGAGTCTGTGGATGAGGAAGGTACGCAGCATCTCCCCGGGTCTCATGCGCCCCATGGGGGACCTGAGCCCTTGCTGCTCTCCTCCTTGACGGGGTGCACTTAGGGAGAAGCTCAGTTCACGTCTGCAAAGTTCTGGGATCACGAGGGAGAACACGGTGACCTTTGCCGCATGCAGCCCCAGCAGCTCAGCAAGCCCACACCTCTGCTACCATTGTGTCCTGAGGTCGCCCGCTGATCCACTGACCGGGCTCCTGCAGTGGCCGTAGCCAGAGCTTTGCCTCCTGGGACAGAGGGCACCCGGGGCGGGGCGGGGCACAGAGGCCTTGAATGGCTCACCCTGCTCCTGATGCTTCTGTCTGGAGTGCGGGCCCAGAAGGGCATCGGGCGGCGTGAGGGCATCAGGGCGCTGGGCAGGGAGCGGGTGGGAGCAGGGAGGCCGGGGTGCCTGCTGCAGCGCTGCCCAGCCCTCAGCTCCGGGGGGTGTGGGCCAGTCTGTGCTCATGCCAGGGCCTCTGTGTGGCTGGGCTGTTGGCCACAACTCATCATGGTCACTGGCTCGGCATGGCTGTGTGCGCTGAGCTCACCTGGGGTCGCCGTTGCCGGGCTGGGCCGCGGGCCTGGGTGGAGGGCCTGGAGCACTGCGAAGCTCTGCAGGTCAGGCGCACCTGGCTGGAGCACGTCCTCCCACCCGCCTGTGTCCCCGTGTTTCCCGGACACCGAGGAGTCTGTGTTGAGCCTGCACCTCTGAGAGCTGCTCGGGAATGGCCTGGATGGAGGGTGCAATTGCGATTGTGTGGAAATTTCAGGAAAGGTTTTTTTCTTTCTCGTTAACAGTAGGAAAGAGCCGTCTTTGAGGAAATCACTGATTTTGAACACTGAGAACCGTCAATGTTTGAAGACAGTTATTTTCCCACTGCAGTTTCTCGTGGTCCTCAGGTCTTGCCAAGGCCCCCAGGCCACTCTGGGCAAGGAGGGAGTCAGTGGGGTGCGGAGCCCCTGCCCTGGAGCGGGTGGCGCATCTTAGAGCCCTGTGCTTAGCTCTGAATTATCTGGTCACTTTAAGTAATTGAATATCATTTACATTAACTTACTTTGAAAATAATTCAGCGTGATTTTGAAAGAATTTAGCCAGTAACAAACTCTGGTGATAAACACTGCTGTCCACCCGGTGCCAGGAACAGCCTGGGTCTGTCCTAGACCCTGAGGAGGGGTGCACCGAGCTCTCTCGGGCTCCCCTGAGGAGCGGCCAAGGCAGTGCTGCTGTGGGTCGAAGCGGTCACAGCGCGCAGGCTGCCTGGTCCTCCTGAATGTGCTCCCAGTGCCCCGCCCACCCCACCCAGAAGGGCGAGTGCCAGACCCAGACCTGGGCATTGAGGCAGGGCCAGCCCAGCTCCCCTGTGCTCGGTGCTGCCAGCTGTGTGGCAGCCCAGGAGGCTTGCAAGCAGCGCACCGAGTCCGCTACCCTGTGCCGGGCAGGCTAGGCTGTTGCTCACTCGTGCAAGTCCCCGCGTGGTGGGAGGGCTGGGTGTGGGGTCCATGTGTCCAGCCAGTGGCTGAGCAGCCTCTGCTACATCCCAAAGGGTTCCTGACCCTGAGCCAACCGGCAAGTCCCTGTGACAGCATCGTCTCCTGTCCACACCACTCACTCAGGAGGCCCGAGGCCCCTGCTGAGCCCACTCCTGCTCCAAGACTGAGTCCACGGCTGTCCACCTGTCTAGGGTGTGTGTGGAGCCTGTGGGGCAGCCTTTGTCACCAACAGCTGGAGGACACACAGTCAGACCCCAGGACACCACTGTGAGAGCTTGAGCACGTGTATGTGAGCATGCATGTAAGTGAGCATGCTTGTGTATTGAGGGCCTGTGTGTGCACGTGTGAGTGAACTGCCAGCATGAGGGCAAGTGTGAACGTGCATGTATGTCAGGGTGTGTGTGAGGCCACATGTGAGAACGAGTGAATGTGACGCCGTGCAAGGGCATGGGTGTGAGTGGGTGCAGAGTGAGGGCGTTGAGGCAATGTGTGCGTGAGCATGAGCGTTGGGAGCACGAGCCTCTGTGAGGGTGTGAGGGTGGGAGGGGTGTGCCAGGGGCTGTCCGCTCTTTCTCCTGGGGAGACAGTGTGAGTCACCAGGTAGACGTGTGCCGTGGATCAGGTTGTGGGAAATTCTGTGGAAAGGGAACGCATGAGCCTCAGTTAGCTGCATGTCTGCGCATTTTATTTCTGTTTCATAAGACCTTGGGATTTCACAGTTCATTACAGTCCTAGTCATTTTATCTGAGAAAGAAGGAAATTTAAATGTGTTGGTAAATCATCTTTATGTTAACAGAAGCCCATTGTTGATGAGAAAGGGAAATGCGAAATCACTTTAAGGATAAAAATCAAGTGCACAAATGTTTCTGTCAGGCACAAAACAATGTGGTTCTTGTCTTTCCCAGCAGAAGCCCCGGAAGTTGTGGGTGACCACCAGTCCCACTCCCTGAGCTCCGAGGACCCTCTGCTCAGGTACTGTGTTCATTTTCTGTGTGTACTCAAGCCTGTGTCTTTTTGCTGTGTGTAGACTCCTTGCCGCATGGCGGAGCACTGGGCTGTCGATCCCTCCGTCCTCCTCGCTGGCCCTGGCCCTGTCCTGCCTGAGGGACTCCAGAGCTGCTCCTCTGTCCCATCACCAGGTGCCCTGTGTGCCATAGGCTGGGGGTGACAGGAAGTGAGCGGGCGGCCGCTGTGTGCCCCTCTGAACAGCCTGTTGTCGGCCTGGTCTCACACCTGCTCGTGTCTTTCTGTTTGGCATTGGTGAGCAGCGTGTCCCATACACAAGACCCTCCAGAAGACAAAGGGGATGTCCCGGGAGAGGTTGCTGCTGACACGGGCTCCCATGCAAATACGGGAATAGGTCCCAGGCAGAGGCAGAGCCACTGGGGCCCTTTGTTAGAAACCGCGGCTCTGTGCGTAGGGAAAGTCGGTGGCCTGTTGTCCTCAGCGGTGGGAAATGTGTCCGTGAAACACTGAGGGTCTTTGAAAGAAAAGGTTATAAGACGCAGTGAACTCAGTCAAGCACCGAGATTTGCGAAAGTATGACATTTTCACGCACACGGAAGCATTGGAGAATGTTTCTAAAAACCATTCGTATTTCCTACAGCTCTACTTTTGTCAAGGAGCTTTTGGCTCAGGCACCGTTCCAGGCTCACGCAGCACTGGAGTCCCACCTTGTTGGTGTGGCCGGTCCTCAGCCAGCTGTTTCCCGACTGCCCACACCACCACAGTGTGGACCCGGCGGGTCCCTGGAGATGCCACAGCCCCATCCACACTCAGTGAAATCCCAGAAACAAATGGTTCATAGGTTTTAAATTAACTCTGATTGTGACGGATTCTTGGCTGGCCCCTGGCGCAGGGACTGCCCCCTCCCGCTCCGGAAAGCGCTTGGGTGTGAGTCCCTCAGAGCGTTCCCCTTGGGTGTTCAGAGGTTCACTGCCCCCTTCTCCTTCCTTCCCGTGAATCTGTTTCACCTTCCACATGCTTCACTGCCATGAAACACACAGTGCAGGACCCTGTGTCCAGGGCCCGTTCATGCCGCGTGCGTGCCACAAGCCACAGGCCTTTGGTCAGCCCCACGCCTTCACAGGCGACCGTGGTTCTCCGGTGAGTCTGATCCAGTCCTTCTTTGGCACCAGATATTGGTCAGAATCCAGGTCCCCACTGGGCCCCGTGGCCGTCCCCTGTGACGCGGGCTGTCTGTGATCCTCTCCCACCGCCTGTGTGGGGAGGTGCAGCCTTGTGCAGGCAATAGAGGGGCAGGGCCTTTCTGAGCGGGCGCCGTTTCCGGTTTCCCCTGGGTTCCTGTGGCGGGCGCCCCTTGGACGCCTTGCTGAGAGAGCACCGATGTGCTTGAGTGCTGATTTGGACTTGGGATTCCTGAGTCCTCTGTGGGAAGACAGGCAGCAGACGCCGTGGCGCACACTGCGCTTTGGGCACTGAGCCCCACGGCAGGGCCTGGTCCCTGCTCTCTGACTTCTTGGTGTGTTTGCTTCCAGCGGTGATCAAAGCAGCAGGGAAGACAGCGCCCTTGCGCGGTGGGCTGTGGACCCGGCCAACACAGCGTGGATGGAAAGTGAGTGCCCTGCCCCGGAGCCCGGGTCCCTGTGGCTGGCGCAGGTGTCGCAGCTGATGGCTGTGCGCCGTGTCCCGTCGGGGTCAGATCAGAAGCTTGCTCAGACCTTCGTTTACTGAGGGTTGGACCCATGGCTTTCATGCTGAGCTACATCCTCAGCTCTTTATTTTTACATTGGGACAGGGCCTCAGTCAGTCGATTCAGCTTCCTGAGCACTGGGATTCCAGGTGTGCTCTGAGGCACCCAGCTTCATTCACTTAGGATACTAAAGAGCCGCCCACGCCTGCAGGAAGATTAGCAGAAGCTGTCTGCCAGGGGCTTCCCAGAACTGGGCTTCACTTCCCTCAGATGATCACACCCCTCTGCGTCCTGCCCCTTCCTGATTGCTTCTGGGTGCGGATTTGGTTCTGGCCTTCGCCATCTGGGAGCTAAGGCTGTGACCTGAAGCCTGTGGCCCGCAGCACCGCAGGGCCTTGCCTGGGGTGGGTGTCCAGCCAGCCCACTGCCAGCACGCCAGTCTTGGATCTGCTGTCATGTAAGAGGCTGGGACATTGTCAGCCAGATCCATTTGTTTTAATTTTTAAGGAGAAGTGAAGATTCCTTTCTGACGATGCCCTTCTTGTTACTGTACCTGGTGCCTGTGAAATTGTCCACAAACGGGCAGCGGCCGCAGTGGTCTCGAATCCCCTCACCCTATGGCTTGTGCTGCTTTGGTGAGAACCATGTTCAGACAGAGCCGCTGCCGGGACTTGATGGCACCAGAGGCCGTCAGGCCGCGCCGCAAGGTGCCTCTCAGCCAGCTCTCAGCCAGCTCTCAGCCAGCAGCTTTATTTCCAGAACAGAATCCATCCCCATTTCTCCAGGTTCCGTTTTCGTTCAGGGACTCAGAGGACTGTGCTCAGAAGCGAGGTCTATGCAGTGCTCAGCCCTGGCACAGGAGGGCAAGTGATCTTGGGCTGCAGGGTCCACACTCCCAGGGGTGGGGTTGCGGTGGCTGGACTTGGGGTCCTGTTCGGCGTCACCTTCCTGAGTTCCCTGCTGTCTGCATGGTGAGCCTTCAGCTGTGGTTTCCAGTACAGTCACACACTGTAGTTGGAGAGGGGCAGCCGTGAACGGGTGTTTGGGGGAACCACAAGGTCAGAGGATGAGATGGACACACGCTCCGGTCAGTGGCAAGCTCATTGCTACTCCGATATGGTCATCTTGAATTGTGTACATCATTTGGCTGGTGCCACCCTTCTTCTTAAAAAGCATATACTTTCTCAGAGACCTGGGTTCCCCGAAATACAGGCTGAGTCTCCAGGGGGTGACACTGCAGGGCCATCGCCTTATTTGATGGCTTCCCATTTTATGCCGTAGTTTCATTCCTGAAACTCTACATCACCTTTTGTGTTTTCTTGTGCATCAGGACACTTTAGCCTCATAAACTTAGAAATGTTTCTAAGAGTCAGTTGTGGTGGCACAGGCCTGTAATCCCAGCTGCTTGGGAGGCTGAGACAGGCGGATCCCAAATTGGAGCCCAGGTTGGACAACCCAGCAAGACCCCCTCAAAATAAAAACATTTAAAAAGGACTGGGGGTTTATCTCAGCAGTAGAGCACTTGCCTAGCATTTGGGAGACCCTGGGCTCAACCCCCAGTACTGAAAAAAAAATGCTTATAAGACAGCCATAAGAGGTGGGTAAATGAGAGTCTGGAATAAATCAGCATGGAAGCCATAAAGTCTTTGATGGCAACAACTCATTCCCTGAGATCTGAGTCTCTCATCCCTGAGATGACACCGGGCCTTGGAAACAGCCACTAGCCGCCCTTCCACGGTAGTTTCCTGAGAGTAGCTTGCAGCAGAGGAGTCCCGGAAAAGTGAAGTTGCACTTGGTTGGTTCTAGTCAATTTTTTTTTTGGTACCGGGGTTGAACTTGGGACCCTGCGCTTTTGAGGCAGGCGCAGGAACCACTGAGCTAAATCCCAGGCCCGTTCCAGCCAGTTTTTAAAGTTTCTTCCCTTTCCTTGCAGACCCGGAAGAAGCCATTTATGACGATGTCCCCAGGGAAAACTCAGACTCCGAGCCAGGTTTGTTTTCGTCAGAAGCCAGAGCTGAGCTTTAGGGTTTTGTTTCCAGGCTCCCCCTGTGGTGCCCATCCCCAGGCCCAGCTTGTGTGCTGAGTCCACGTTTCAGACCTTGAAGAGGGAGTGGCTCGGAACGGGTGTGTGTGTGTGTTTGTGTGTGTGTGTGTGTGTGTGTTACAACACTTGAAGCAGAAAGAGTGAAAGAGAAACTAGGAACAAAGAGGAAAGAAACATGGCGGCCAAGAAGTACCAGCAGATGTGTAATAAAACGTAAACACGAAATTGTAGAGATCCAGCCCAAGATGATACTCCGAGTCTGTTACCAAGAACCTTCCAGAAGTTCAGGAAGACACATAACGTTCTCAGCATGTAGAAATGCAAGCCCCGTGCAGTGTCAGCTGCACCAATCAGGTGCCAAATCCAGGGAAACCTTGACAGAAGCCCAGAGAGCAGGACACCGAGGGAAGCGCCACCCTGAGGACCCCAGGCCTCTGAGGAGCAGCGTCACAGTCACAGGGCGGAGTCTCCAGGGTGCAGACAGAAGTGGCGGCTCGGCCCTGGTCTCTGTGCCCAGCTTCGGGCAGCCCTGCAGGAAAAGAAGGCAGGTAGAGATTACAGGAATAGTTATCAAGCTTTGCAGGAAATGATCCTGTGCCCAGAGGAAGTACTGTGAAGCGATGGAGAATGGTGAGCAGATCACTTGTGAGGTTGTGGACAAACCAGACGTCATGGGCTTGGACAGCAGCTGCGGCATGGATGTGCTCGGGGCTGGGCTGCGGCTGGTGTTCATTCAGCCTGGGTTTGCAGGAAGGCCATGTGTCATACTTCTCTCTCGTCTCTGAGACAAAATACTGGACACCCAAAGCTAAAAGAGAAGGGGATTATTTAGCTCCAGTTCGTAGAGGCTTCAGTCTATCATCGGCTGGCTCTGAGGCAGGGTGGCAAACAGGCCTCACAGAGGAGAAGCAGCATGGCACACACAGGGCAGCAAAGGTAACGAGAGAGTTTAACTGCTTCTTTCTGCCCCTGTTATCTTATTCAGTCTACTGGGATTAAGGCAGTGCCAAACTAATCGCTCACACTAGTGGTTTAGTAACCGCACGCCCTTAACCCCAGCATCACACATTCCAGACTCAATTACCTCTGAAGAAGAAAGTCCCACCTCATCCACATGAGGCTTTGGGGGGCTCTGAACACAAGCTGTAACAGGCAGAGAGGCTTGGGATCTTTTGTTTTGGGATTTTTATGACTGGCCAAGGGTATATTTTATGATCAGTTACTAAGGGCCTAGAAACAGGTTAACTCCTAAACCAGTAGAGCAAAACTCAACCTGATTGAGAGCTAGAAATTAAAAGAGAATAGCAAAAAGAAAGAAAAGATTGTAGAATAAGTCCAAATGTACTGATACTTAGGAGGTTTAAATTGGGCCCAGTTCCCAGTCAGTGTGATTCTCAGATGGGCAGAATAGAGAGCTGGCCCTGCACTCTTGGGCCAGGTGGACTCAGACACAGTGTGGAGTGGATGGGTGGGACCAGAGACGCAGGCTGAGTCCGACCAGGAAGTGCTGATACAGCTGGCAGTGGATCAGGTGAGGTGCAGAGTCAGGGCGGGGCTCAGAGGCAGAAGACAAGTTCCCGAAGGCGAAGGTGGAATCAGAAACAGGGACTACAAGTTCGTGATTTAAGTAGGAGATGCTAGCAGAGCTGTTTCCACTACTAGTGAACGCTGGATGCACAATTAATGTAGATTAGTCTGTGGTATTAAAGGACACGGTAAAAACTTAAAACCAATAGTTTCCAAATGTACATTCCCCCAAACACCAGGAATATTTCTATAATTCCGTTGTAGGCCTCAAAGCAAAGATTAACAAATGCCAAATAATTGTTATTTGGGTCTTATTACCTGTCACAGTCTTATGAAATTGATAGAAAGCAAATATTTGGAAATTAAAGATCACTACTATATAACCTGTCATCAGGGATAAGCACAATGGAAATCAGAAAATATTTTGATGTGATGAATCTAAAAACTTGAGATGCACTTAAAATAGTAAAGTTATAGATCTAATGGCATATGAAAATGAAGAGAGTGCCTTGCTCCAACTCACCTACGTAAAGGACAGCAAAGCAAACCCAGGAGAGGGAAGGAGGAACCACGGTAACAGCAGTGGAAATGTCGGGGTACCAAAGCTGCAGAGACAGACACCGCGGTGATGTTACAGGGAGAGCGAGAAGCAGAGTGGGGAGAGGAGTGGAGGACTGGTGAGCAGGAGCCCGCGGCTGCTGCGTGGATTCCTGAGAACCGGACTTCGTGTGACTAAGTGCTTCAGTGGGCTGAGCCTTTCCTCCCATGATCAGCTGAGCATGGGCAGAACAGGAGTAACATTCTGATCACCAGGACGCTGGACTGGTTGCTTGGCTGGTTGGCAGAGCAGCCTGGGACCCCAAGTGCTCCTGGGGGTCAGGAGCCCCCACTGCTCATCTGGGAGTGGGCAGGGCGTGCCCTGTCACTCGGATCTGACGCAGCCTGGGTGTGTAAACCCTCACCCAGGGGAGAGGCAGACCCCCAGACAGGCTCAGCAGGTGGCAGCATCTCTGCGGAGCACAAGCGAGCCGAGGACCCTTGGACACAGGGACCTTGCTGGTGGCTCCCCACACTCAGACGCTCCCCTCAGAAGGTGCTCGGGAAACACGAAGGGGGCCATTCAGGGCTAAAAGCTCATAACTGGAGGGCGTGCTCTCAGCTGTTGAAGGAGGCGTTCCTAAAATGTACCTCGAACATGGCACATGGGAAGAAGAGTTAAAATCATAGCTGTCCCTTGCACAGGTCTTCTGGCACTGGCAGCTGCTGGCACGGAAGCTGTCTTGTGAGCTGGCGAGGAGGCAGACCGCCACCCGAGGACCACAGTACATGTGCACGGCCCAGACGGTGAGCGAGCCCGGCTCACTCCCCTCGCTGTGAAGCACCTTTCCGGGCCTCTGACCCAGCCGCTCAGCCACTGAAGGTCTCAGGTCAGTGTACCCCCAGAAGTCTCGCAGAGAGCCGCCTGCCGGGGTGACCTTGGTCCTGGCTGGGCTTGTGTGCCCTTGAAGATGGCACACCAGGCACGCCCGGGGAAGCCCCAGGCCCCCGTCCCTCCGCCTCCCAAGGCCCGGGCAGCCGCCTCGGCCGCGCCAGGGCCACCCGCATTGCACAGGAGCGGGAACCCTGTGAGCCCTGAGAGGAGCCACTGCCACCACCCATTCATTGTGGAGCCTGAGGAGGAGGGCTGAGGCCTGGAGGACACCAGCACGAACAAGTGGAAATCATCACAGAAGGATAAAGTTCGACAAGTTTACGATCTTCACATGATCTAGTGAAAAAACTGCAGTAAGTTGTCTTTCTCAAAATGACTGGATGTTAGATGTTGCAACAGATAATTTTTTCCAAAATCCTGAACTGTGTATATGAGAGAGTGTAAAAGGACCGTTGGACAGGAAGAAGTTAGAACAACTGTACAATAGATACAAGATCCTCGAGATGAAAATAAAATTGGAATAGATGGTATACAGCAGTTCTGTGATGACCTGGCACTCGGTCCGGCCAGCATTAGTGTTTTGCTCATTGCATGGACATTCAAAGCAGCAGCACAGTGTGAGTTCCCCACACAGGAGTTCATGGACGGCGTGACAGAATTAGGATGAGCCAGCATGGAAAAAGCTAAAGGCTCAGATACTCAAGGTGGAACAAGAATTGAAAGAACCGGGACGATGTAAGAATTTTTACCAGTTTACTTTTAATTTTGCAAAGAATCCAGGGCAAAAAGGATTAGATCTAGACATGGCCATTGCCTACTGGAACTTAGTGCTTAATGGAAGATTTAAATTCTTAGACTTACGGAATAATTTTTGTTGGAACATCATAACCAATCGATACCAAGATGCTTGGAGTCTTCTTTAGACTTCAGCGCAGTGATTGCAGATGACATGTTTAATCGTGTCGGAGGAGCATGGCCTGTTCTCACGACTTTGTGGAATTTGCATGGCCGCAAATTGCTGGGGCAAAAAAGTACTACAGTGTAGCACTAAAAGAACCTCCTAGAATGTACATAGTCTGTACAATAAACACACCGGAAAATTGCACAGTCAGTTACTGCTGGCTGGACTAAAGATCAGTCCCCACTATTCAGACTGAGGTTTGGACAAAGCTTTAAGGATACGTTGGACCACATCATATTGCATTCTTCAGATGGTGGTTGGGCTTGTCTTCTAGTCTGGGCTGCTCTAAACATTTATAATTCCAACGTTGTGGATTTCATCTTAGTATCTGTGGACCATCCTTACTTATTCTCCTGTAACTCCTAGAAGCTTTATGGTAATTATTTTGAGGTTTCCATTCTTGCATAAAGCACAATGCTGTCTTCATCATAAGAATTAAACATAATGAACATCACACACACACAAAAGATGGCACAGCAGGGAGACCGTGGCTGTCCTGGGAGGAAGCGCCTCCCTCTCTCGTTGCTAGGCGAGTGGGAAACGGGTCACGGTGCCCAGGGATGGTCCCAGAAATCCTGTTGAGGCTGTGGACAGTCCCCCGAGATCAGTGGGAACTTCCCTGAAGGCTGGCACAGGGTCTGCTCTCTGCAGCCCGCTGGAGCGCGTGCCCTCCACTCTGCTGCTCCTGCTGGCCCTGGGCTGCTGAGCAGCTGATGTCTTCTGGCTCCCAGGGATGCACCTGCCTCAGTCCTGGGCCAGGACCGCAGTGCACCACAGCGGGCACCAGCGCTCTTCCCGGCCTGTGGGCTCTCATCCAGTGGGGCCCTCTCCCTGCTCACCTGAGCTGCTCCGGGTGGGTGAGGCTCGGCCCTGCTGAAGGCCCCTCCCTCGCTGGCTGGGCCCCTGCCACCCTGACCTACAGCCTTCACTCCTCAGAGCTGTTGCTCAGAAACCCGGAGGATGTGCCCTGTGTTCAGAAAGAAGTAATCGATTCTGGAGAGATGCAGGGCTATGGTGATTTGAAGCACATGGAGCTGGTGCTGCAGCACAGCCTCATCTAATTTCTCATTTCCAGCTAAATGCGTGTTTGCTTTCTCGTGCTCTCCATGTGTGGTGTTCAGGGCCCTCAGATCCTGAGCGGCTGAGGATGTGTGCGCTAACCGCGTAAAGGAAGGTGGGTCTGTCTGCAGGCACGGAAACGCTGTCTTTCATCAACGTTGTGCCGTCTTTGTCTTTAAATGGTAATTAAGCAGAAATGATTCTCAAGAAGTCTTTGACCCCAGTAAGCTGGGTCGTGTGGTTGGCGGTGGAAATGAGAAGCCACCAGTTCTCTAGGAGTTGGAGGAGTGGCATTTTCGGCCTCCAAACGTCCTGTTTCCAGGCCACAAACTGGGGACAGAGACTCCTGTGTGTGCTGTTGCTGTGCTGCACATTTCCCGGCAACCAGCGCTGTCTTTCGCCCTCCGCCCCCAGGGCCTTGGTGTGTGGGCCTCAGGCCTCTGCTCACCACAGAGGCCGGAGTCAGGCAGCTTCACCCAGTCCACATTTCAGGGCATGGATCCTGAGATGACTGAGGTGCAGCTCACCTTGGGGCTTCAAACAAAGACCTTTTACTTAATAAAGACCTTTGTCACCCTTTGGTGGCATAAGTACGATGTGTTCCTCAGCATTCTGGCCAATGTGACAAAACCATTTACACTAGCGGGGTATTACACATTGTAATAGTGTAATATTACACTATTACAATGTGTAATACGTTGTATTACACAGGTTTCAGCACAGAAGGAAATTTACAGTTGCCGGAAGTGGGCTTCTCTGTGTTAGCACTTTGTATCTCGCATGTCTGGGCTGGTCACCGTCCACTCATCTCTTGCCATCTGTCCATTACCTGGCTGTGTCCCGCTGTCCGCCTGCCGGCTCCCTGTCTCACCTCGGTGACACAGCCCCTCAGGGAAAGCCGCTCTTCCTTCCAGCAGTGTGTGGTGTAACAGGTGGGTTCGGACCGGCCAGTGGTCCTTAGGATGTGGATGGCACCGTGCTGCGCATGGAGGGGGACTCGGAAGCCCTGCAGTGTGCCGCGCTTGGCCACAGGGCTCCTCTGAATTACCCGGATGCGCTTCTGCCCCAGCTACGCATGAGGTGAAACAGCAAATGGGTGAGCAACCTCTGCGTTTGAATGTTAATTTCATCTTGGAATTTGTACACTCAGATGGAATGCTTTATGATGACGTTGAGAATGGAGAGCAAGGTGGAAACAGCTCTGTGGAGTATGGGTGGAGCTCCAGTGAATTTGAGAGCTACGAAGAGCAGAGTGACTCGGAGTGCAGGAGCGGCGTTCCCCGGCCCTTCCTGCGCAGCAGCCACAGGAAGCAAGTAGGTGTGCGGCCTGCAGAAGCTGGGGCTGTGTCCTCCTCCACCTGTGCACAGAGCTGTGGAGCCTAACACTTACCTGCTTGTTTCTGAAGATGTTGATGTGTAGTTTGGGGAAAACGTCAGGCATTAGCAAAGGAGACAGTGTTTTGTCATTTCATGTTGCTTAGGCAGAGGAGGACGGACCTTAAACTCTCAGGAAAAGAGGCAAGCTCAGCATCTGGAGCCCTTGAGAGAGCAGGTGACATTTGTGTGGCTCCTCCTGGGGTCGGCCCAGTTCCTAGAGTGAGCCCTCACTCAGAGTCCCCAGGACACACGGGGCAGGCTGAGCCCTCACACAGGATCCCCGGGGCATGCAGGGCAGGCTGAGCCTATGTATGCCCTGGAACTGTGCTTCCCTGAAATGTGCTGAGAGCCAGCCTCTCCCCATGAGCAGGAAGTTGGAATCACAGGGAGTGTTGAGAATGACAGAAAAGAGCAAAGCTCCTAAACTGCCCTGAAACTCTAATTAAAAACTTTTTATTAGCCCATGTTTGCAGTGCCTAACAGTGACGTTCATGGGGGGGTTGGCACAGGCACACAGCACCTCTGCCTCTGCCCCTCTGTTCCTTGGTTCCCTCCCCTTCTGCGGAAGATCTGCCTCAGCGTTGCCTTTTCTCTGTCCTTCATTTTGCTCTTACATTGTTTGTACTTTGGGTTTCTTTGAAGTTAGGGTCAGAGGAGGGCTGGGAGCCCTGAAGAGTGAGCCCTGGTGTGGGTGGTGTGGCCGGCCCTCCCCATGTGACGGTTGGCCGTAGTCTGGCCCCACAGGGACTCCCGTAACCGGAGCCTGCATTCTCCCCTAGCTGCCACATGTGGCTGTTTAGAATTCTGTTCCCTGAACCATTTCATGGAAGTCGGGAACAGCCTTCCAGCTTGCAGTGGACACCCCACGACTCTGGGTTGTGGACAGGATTTGTCCAGGAACTCAGGTCTTTCCATGGCCAGGATTACTCACCTCATTTTGCAAGTGAGCGAAGCTGCCATCATAGTTGGCAGAGCTCACGAGAAGGAAGGATTTGGCTTGGTGCAGCCGAGTCAGATACCCAGACTTATGCTGAGGCCGTCAGAGTCAGCCAGCAGGTGAGTGTTCAGGAGCAGGCAGACCATCTCAGGTCGAGGGTGGATGCTGTGGTCGCTTTGGCTTCGGTGGACCTGGGATCCCAGCGGAGCTTCCAGCCATGCCAGTGAGGGCGTCGGGCTCCTCAGCCACCCTGCTGGAGAAGCGCAGAGGTGTGTGTCCCAGGAGGCTGGCAGGACTCCCGCTGTGCATGCCGAGTCCTGACAGGGCCCGAGCACACGTACTGCTTGAGTTGGAGTGGAGGTGGACTGGGGCCTCGTGGGTCAGGCAGGGTTGAGACAGAAGAGCGGCAGGTTCGCACTTCCTAGGTTAAGGTGACAGATGTTAAAAACTACTCAGATAAAGCTGAATTGCTGAGTCGTCTCAGCAGCAGTCTTGAGTTTTTATTCACTGTGTTTAGCCTGTCCTCCTGGTGGACACGAGAGTGCCCAGGAGCCCGGGACTTCGGCTGTGCCTGTGTTTCTAAGATGGCAGTGGGCCAGAGGGATGGTCCAGGAGACCCCGCCCTGCGCATCAGCCTGGCCTTGCATGGGTGCTGGCTGTGTCCGGGTACCCAGACAGCACAGCTCGCAGCCCTCTGATGCCGTCATGTGCAGCTCGTGTGTCCCTCAGGAGGTGTCAGGGCCGGCCATGGCCCCACATAGCGGGGGTCTGGGTCTGGCTGGGCCTGCTTCGAATGACGCTGTCTCTCTGTGCCGAAGCTCTCATGACCTAAGCCGCTTAAAGGCACGCTGTGAGGAAAGCATGAGAGACTTGGTGGCCAGCACAGTGCGAGCCATGGGGGTGCAGCAGCTAACGTGCAGGCAGGAGTGCAAGGTGGTGTGGTTCTCAGAGGTGGCCCCGGGGCTCCTGGGCCAAAATTTTGAGAACTGCTGGATTTGAAGCGTGATGCTTGGTCCCTGCGGGTGTTTGAAAGGGCGCTGTCAAGTAGTTCCCACTGCAGCCCGGCCTTTGTGCCTTCGGGAAGTAGGTGTCTGCTGGGATCCCGCTCCCCGCTCCCGCCCTCCTGCGTGGTACTCCAGGCTGGCTCCCAGCACGGCAGTGACAAGGCCTGCTTTAGGACTCGGGTGCTGTGGGCCCTGTGCCGTGTGAGCAGCGGGCCGGGCGGTTGCTCAGGGCTGGGGTGGGCAGCTCGGCCCTGGGACCCAGGGTGGGGCTCCACCTGCGGCTCTGTGGCTGCCGCAAGGGCCCTGTCTGCTCTGTGGTGCTCCGAGTCTCAGGGGGGCAGGCGTGCACTGAGGGATGGCAGCCAGGCCTGAAGCCAGGAAGCAGTGGGCTTGGGCCGGGCCGGGCTGGACATGCACATATTGGCCCTACGCGGGTGCGTGTGGGTCAAGCGCTGGAGGAGGCAGGCAAGCAGCTGTGGCTTTGAAGTTTGTGACTGAATGTAGGAGTGGTCAGGCAACCCTGGAAAGGGAAGCTGGGTGCTGGAGGGTACAGGGGTGGGGATTTAGTTCCCTAATGTGAGCGGCCCTGGGGCACCTGAGAGGCAGGCGGAGCCAGGTCCCTCCGGTGCTCTCTGAAGGGAGCATGCAGGGTCCCAGCCGATGCTCAGATGTTAGGCTTCTGCAGAAGAGGAAGTGAGGCCAACCCTGCCTTCGAAGGAAGGCCCAGGCGCTGCCATCAGCCCTGACAAATCCCAGCGCTGGCTGGCGGAGCCACGGTCAGCCAGCTGTGGCCCTCGGCAGATGGGCTGCCCCACGTGTGCCCCGCTGCCTAGGCCGGGGCTGCTGACGAGCGCAGGAAGGGCTCTCCAGATGGCAGTGAGGCCTGCGCCAGGCCGGTCGGGAAGGGCCCTGCGAGGAGGCGGACGAGAGGCCTGAGCTGCTCTTGTGCCGTGCAGCCATGGCCCGTCTCACGTCCGTGCCCGTTTGAACTGCGGCTGCCACAGAGCTCTCCTGCCTGTGAGTGACTGCAGAGAAAATAAAGATGACTTGGACAGAGCAGGAGACTCGAGACTCCTCGCAGTGTGTAGGAAGGGCTTCAGTTTTAGACTTTGCTTTCCTTTTATTTAAAAACAAGATGAAAAGTAGCTGACAGCCACACATACGCTAACCAAGCTCTCCTACAGGAAAAAGCCAGTGTCAGGTGATGTTTGAAGCTCAGACTGCTTGACAGTGTTCTTTTAAAATAACAGATGCAGTTGAGGGGTCCGGGCTGGGGCCGCTTCTCAGGCGTCTCCCTCTTGCAGATGCAGAAGCTCATGAAGGCGGCCAAGGAGGGCACCAGGGACGGGCTGGAGCGCACCAAGGCCGCCGTGAAGAGGGGCCGCTCCTTCATCAGGACCAAGTCCTTCGTCTCCCCAGGTCCGGCCGAGTTGCCTGCGCTGGTCCTGGTTCTTGGCGGGGTGGGACGACGTGAAGGGGCGTGGTCACACAGGTGCAGGGGAGGAAAGTTGCTCGCAGGCAGCCAGCTCTCTGCTGTCTCCTCTCGGCAGCCTCGTCCCAGGCCCTCCCTGGATCCCACGGGCGCCCAGGGGGCCCTGGACCACACAGTGGCTACGCTGGCCGTGGTCTGCAGATGTTCCCGTTCCAGAAACCTGTGGTGACAGCGTGCGGGCTTCCTGGACCTCATGGGGACAGGGCTGTGGCCTGGCGGCTCTGGCATACCAAGGGCTGTGTCCAGGCCCAGCGTGTGCGGGCCGAAGGCTTGGGCCAGCGCTGTGGGGACCTGGGGTGGGAGCTCCTCAGAGCCGCAGGACAGACAGGGTGCTCCATCGGGTCTGTGAGCACGCGTCCTGCATCTGACGCCTCTCAAGGGCACCTGCGCTCAGCGTTTGCTGACGTACGTGTAGGCTTAGACAGACACTAGCCAGGTGTGGGCATGCACGCCTGTCACCCCAGTGTGCAGGTAGGCTGAGGCAGGAGGTCACAGGCCTGAGCTCAGCCTGGGAAACTTGGCGCCTTAGCAAGACCTTGTCCCAAAATAGAAAATGCAGACGGGCTGGGAACGTAGCTTATTTTGGATGTGCTAGGTTCAGTCTCCAGTAAGACACATACGTGTACACACAGACGCACACACACAGGTGCAGGGAAGCACTGCACACTTGCTGCTTCCTCATGGAGTGGCGTAGGAACGCCCTCTGCCACTGGGGCTAAAACTGACCTGGGCCTTCAGTGTCCAGCCAGAGGAACACCAGGCATTGCAGACAGGCCTCTGTGGTTGGGGATGGTGTGTGCGTTCTGACGCAGCGAGCCCTGCTCTGGTCCACGCAGGGGTCTGGGCCAGACTCTGGGTCCCTGTCTTACCCCCCACCCCCCAGAGCACTGCCTTCCCATCCAGGTGCTGGGCCGGGAGTCCTGGGAGCAGCTCAGCAATGCCCCAGGTGCTGCCCCAGGTGCTGCCCCAGGGCCGGCCAGCACTGCGATCTCCTCCTCTCCGGGGGTCTCTGGGGTGAGCTGTCCCTGGCCCCCTCCTGAGGGAAGTGGTGTTGTCAGGCCTGAGTGTGCCCAGCCACACCCCAGTATCCAGTCTCCCCCCCGTGACTTTCAAAGCTGGCAGCTCACATCTTGGGCAGGGTTCAGGGTCTTCAGATGAGAACAGTTCCGTGACCTGCAAGCACCTTGTTCTTCTGGAGTCCTTAGTGGTCTCTGGTTATTTTGAGAACCCAGGGCCTCCACCCCATGCTACATCCCCAGCCCTGATTTTTGGGGGGATTCTTTTTAGTACCAGGGATCGAACTTGGGACCTTGCGCTTGCGAGGCAGGTGCCAGCATTTCAGTTTTTATTTTGAGACAGGGTCTCCCTAAGCCACCCAGGCTGGGCTGGAACTTGTGACCCTCCTGCCCCAGCGTTCCAGAGTGCTGGGATTGCAGGTGTGTGCCACTGTACCCAGCTGAGTTTGGCTTTAAGAATGAATTTAGTTTCGGTTTAGATGTCTTGATTTTTGGAAAACTGCCTGTTCAGGGTTCCCGTGAGAGGCGAGGATGGACAGTCAAGAAATGCAGAGTCCCGCCGGAGTCTTCCCTGGCTATCAGCTGTGCTCTGCAGTCCTTGGTGTCCAGGCCCAGTGCACGGGGCGGGAGGGAGGGAGAGCACCCACCATGCTGCTGTCTGGCTGTTCACCTGACTCCTCTGCCTTCCAAGCTGAGACTCTGTATTGAAATTGTCAGTTATTGGCACATTAGCCCTGTGGGAAGGATAATTGATTGGGTTTGTTGAAATTTCAATTTAATCAGAGCTGAGTGTGAAGTAAGCATGTAAAATGGAATTCTACACAAAAGATTTGCCCAACAACTCATTTCACTGTGCTGTGCTGCATGCACATGAGTCACGGACAGGTGGGTTTGGTGTGACACTTACGAGTCCTGGCCTGTTCTAAGACCACAGATCCTGTCTGGAAGAGGAGCAGAGCTTGTTCATTGACGTGGACTGCAGGCACCCGGAGGCAGTGTTGACGCCGATGCCTGAGGGACTGTCTCAGCAGCAGGTAGGACTGGCAGCAGCACCCAGCGCTCCTGGCGACGCCCTTGGCCTTCGCAGCCCGGCAGCAGTGTCTGCTGCCCCACAGCCTACCCCTAGCCAGCTCTCTGCTGTCTGCTCTGTGGTACAGGCACAGCTGAGGGGCTCAGGGACCCTGGTCTTAGCTGTGGCCTCAGCAAAGGCCATTCTGGGCCTGAAATATTTCGGCTGTCACCCCAGAATAGTTGTGAGAAATGTGTGGAATGCGCATTTTTTTCTCATGGTCATTTATACTAGCTCAAATTCATATGATGCTTTTACTGAGAGCCAGCGTATAGGTGTGTACAAAGTATGTTGGCTCAGATTGAGGTTTAAATAGTAGACGTTTACTAATTAATGAAATTGTCTGAATATATGCATTTCTTAAAATCTGACCAAAGGTAACAAAGGGGAAAAGCAGTGGTTTCCATTTGATTATCTTTGGGTACAAGGAAGATTTAAGAAATAAGAACAGTATCACAGAATCTGTGGGCATAAGGCAAAGGGTGAGCCATTCAGGGGGCTCTGAGTGACTTTCCACACAGCAGCATGGTGCAAATCATGGAGCTTGAGGTAGGGGACAGACAGATGGATGTCAGTGGTAGGTGAGGGGTGGATGGATAAATAGACATGATAAAGATATAAATATGTAGGCGATACATAAGTTGTTACAGGCCATGCACAAGTGAAAGAAAAACAGAAGCGCTAAATGGTGCAGAGTTTACCTAGGAGCTGTTACTGTTTGGTTAGGCCCAAATCGCAAGCTACGTTGCATGTTGCATTAGAATGGAAGGGGGAACCAAGGGAGTTAAATGCTTGAGGAAAAGGAGGAAGGAGTGAATTTGTTGGTGGTGAGCAGGACAATGCATGGGAGGTGATGAGGTACAGATGAGCCCCCGGGAGAAGGAGATTTGTAAGTGCTCTCGCCCAGCACATGCTCAGGCCTGGTCTACCTCTTGCAGCCCTTGTAGCCCCTGGAAGCCACTGTAGGTTTTACAAATGAGCAAGCTGGATGCTTGAAGGAGCATGTGTGAGGGACAGTGAGTCGGTGTCTGCAGTCTGTGAGGAGCGGGTGAGTCCGATGTGCAAACGGGGTGTGAGGAGACTCGGCAGCCTTCAGGGTCTGAGAAGAGACAGTGGGTGGCCTGCGGGATCAGTGAGTGGAGGCTGAATAGTGCCTTAGGAACTGAGGGAAGGGTACAGGGGCGGGGTCTGTGGGGAGACAGCCGGCCTAGCGTTCCTGACCGGTGGGTGTGAGGGGAGAGAGTGCCTCCGAAGGACAGCACAGAAGGGTGTGGAGCACCGCAGAAGCGGCATGGCGGTGGGTGTGTGAGGGCCCGGTGGAGAGCAGTGTGGGGCCATGTGGGGGAGGCTGAGGAGAGCAGATGCTCTGTGGGGACACAGCGGGGAGGACGTGGCGCCTGCGAGGAGCTAGCAGGGCATCGTGTTGTGCCGGAGACAGTCTGCAGCTCTAGGTATCTTCCCGGCAGGAACGCTGACGGATATTTTAGCCTGAGTGTGTTGACACACGCACAACGCCTCTAGCCTGTGAGAGACAGTGAGCCTGCGGTGTTTCTCTGGTTTTTCAGATTGTAGTGTGGACATGGCTCTACAGCAAGGAGTCCTGCAGACCTGATCTATCCCACAGGCCTTTCACTGGGATTAAGTTTGTCACATGGTCAAGTTAGGGACTTAGTATGTTTAACTCCCAGTTTCCCCTGTGTAAAATGGTGGTGTTGATGACTTAGGGTTTTTTTACTTTTCCTCTTATCTTGAGGATCCAGGGAAATAATGTGTATATGAAAGGCTTTGTGTTTTCTCATAACCCTGTCAACCCTAAAGAGGCCAAAGCCAGACTCTTGAGTTCAAAAATGTATCAGTATTTAGGATTTCTGTATTTTTCCACTCAGCTTGCTCTCTCACAGTCATGATTCACATCGATTATTTTTTGTTACTGGCAACTGTGTTCTATGGGAGTTTTGTCTTTAAAAGTTAAACTGGTGTTGATGCTTTTGAAATCTTTTTTCCTTCTAAATTGGAAAGAAGGTAACGTAGGTTAAGACTGCATTTGAATGTTGTTTTCATGCCCTATTTTGGGATGGTGAAAGAAAGCCCTGCTTACTTCTTAAGTTGTCGTTCACTTGAAAAAATGTCCTGCTTCCTGAGGACACAGGGTCCCGCCTGCCACCCGTGGGCCCCCGCTCGTGGGTCAGAAGCAGGGCCGACCCGGGAGCCTTTGGAGCCTCCCCTGGCTCACACAGTGCTGCTGCTCTCTTTTCCTGTCCTGCTTTCTCCAGCAGACCCGCACCTTCAAACCATTTACTTCCCTCCCAGGGGCTGGCTCCTGTTTCATCCTTTGGCTTTTTTCACAGAAAAACGTTTTTCAGCTAATTGTCCTCTATGACCTTGGGTTTGTGGTTCTCAGGGGGATGTTAGCGACAGTGGAGCCTGTCGTGCCCTGCTCAGCTCTGGGACTGCTGTTTGCTGTGTTGACCCTAACTGCCTCAAAGGACTGACGTCACCTGCAGTAACTGTGAAATCTAGGCGATCGATTTAGGGTTTTAAATTACCTTATTCTGATTTTAGGACCTTGAACCTAATATGCTCTTGTCACCTCAGAACTGTCTATAAATTCATAGGTCTGACCCTCAAGCAGTGTGACTCGGGAGCTGTGGGATTGTACCTGGAAATCTGAGTTTTGGAAGGAATGGTGGCCCAGACTTGAGGATCAGGGGTCACTTTACAGTGGTGGCGGAACTTGGCCCACCCATCCTTTGAACCAGCCACGGTCAGGGTCACGCAAATGGCCACAGAGCTTGGGGAGCCAAGACTTGAGCTCCAGTCCTGTGTGTTCTTTGCTAGTCCCAGCCATAGCTGGGTGTTTGTACTTTTTAAAGACATCAATTTCTTTAGATATCCTGGAAGGGTTCCTTTTTGTCTTTTGTGGCTTGAATGTGTAATCTTTTTTTGTAAAGAGAATAATGACTCGTGAATGTTCCCTAAATCTTGTTGCCCTGGACTCTGCGTTGCGTAACTGTGGGAATGGACTCGAGGAAAATGCTCACTTTGCCCACTAGGTGGCACTGCAATGTCTCCCAGTGGTATCAGTTGGCTGCCAATTCCCTAGAAGGGTGTGTGCCTGTGTGTGTAAGTGTCCAAGCCGCAGGTCTGTGCTTCCTGTGTGTAGGCAAGGAAAACAAACGCAGGAAATAACGTGAGTCTGAAATGCAGACATATCAGGTGCAGAGATCTTTTTGCACCGTAAATGACATGAGCGTTCTAACCACCTACATTTTTTTCCCATTAAGTTTATTGGTCCATTTAGGTATACAGTACAGTTACACTCATCACTGGGAACTTGCACCTTTACATGATGGATCTTCGTTCCTATTTTTCCCCTTCCCTTGCCCTCCCTTCACCCCCTCCCTCCCTCCCTATTTACAAAGACTTTGTTTCCATTTTTCCCTTTTCTCATATTTTTTCCATTCCCTTCTTTCCTTTCCCCTACCCCTCCCACTTCCTCTACTCCTTTACACCTTTTCTTCCTATTTCACATTATCAGTTATACATTTTGATCCTTATTTACACTTACAGTTTTTCACACCAGAGAAACTATTCTGTATTTACACGTGTGTCCTATTTATTTCACTTAAGAGCATCACCTCAAGGTCCATCCATTTAGCTATAAATGTCTGTAGTTTCTCGTTCTTTACAGCCGAGTAGTACTCCATTTTATTTTAAAAACCACATCTTTATCCAGTTTCCAGTTGGTGGGCACTTGGGCTGTCTCCCAGCTTTAGCCATTACAAACTGTGCCACTATAAACATGGGTGTACATATATCACTGTGGTATGATTCTTTTCATTCTTTGGGGAAGATCCCCAGTAGGGGAATAGCTGGGTCAAATGGGACCTCTAGCCCTAGTTCTTTGGGATATCTCCATACTGATTTCCACAGTGGTTGCACCAGTCTGCACTCCCACCAGCAGTGGAGCAGGGTTCCTCTTTCCCCACAGCCCCACCAGCATTTGTTATTGGTTGATTTCTTGGTAGCAGCCATTCTTTCTGGGGTGAGGTGGAATCTCAGTGTTGCTTTCATCTGCATCTCTCGAATGACCTGTGATGTTGAACATTTTTTCATGTTTGTTTGCTGCTTTTACTTCTTTGTCTGAGAAATGTCTGTTCATTTCAGATGCCCTTTTTTGAATTGGGTCTTTATATTTGGGGGGGGTTCTGTTTTTTTAAGTTCTTTATATATTCTAGATGGTAGTCCTTTGAGGAACAGCTGGTAAAATTTTTTTCCCACATTGTAGGTTGTCGCTTAGCTCTGTTGGTTATTTCTCTTGCAGTGCAGAAGCTTTTTAATAAGATGAGATCCCAGTTGTTGATTCTTTGTGCAAGTTCCCGTGCCACTGAGGTTATGTTCATAAAGTCTTTTCCTGTGCCAATGTCATTGAGAGTTCTACCTAACTTATCTTCCAGGAAGTTTAGTGTTTCTCTTTTACTATTTACACCTTTAAGCCATTTTGATCTTAGTTTAGTGCATGGTGATAGATATGGGTCTAGTTTTAATCTTTGGCAGGTTGAAATCTAGTTTTTCCAACACCATTTATTAGATAGGCTATCTTTCCTCCAGTGAGGGTGTTTGGCTCCTTTGTCGAAGATGAGGTAGCTGAGTATGTCTGGAGTTGTTTCTGCATCTTCTAATTTATTCCACTGATCCTCAGGTCTGTTTCTTTGCCAGTACCAGGCTGTTTTTGTCACAGTGGCTTTGTAGTATAGTTTCATATTGGGGATTGTGGTACCCCTTGTCATGTCTTTGTTGCTTAGAAATGCTTTTGCCATTCTAGGTCTCTTCTGGTTCCAAATGAATTTTTGGATTGTTTTCTCTATTCTGTGAAATATACTGTTGGGATTTCAATTGGGATTCCATCCATATAGCAGTTTTGGAAGTATGGCCATTTTTACTATGTTGGTTCTTTCTACCCAGGAGCAAGGGATGTCTTTCCATTTTCTTGTATTCTCTTTGATCTCTTTTTTCAGAGTTCTGTAGTTTTCAATGTAGAGGTCTTTTCCTTCCTTTGTTAGATTGATTCCTAGATATTTCATTTTTTTGGATGTTATTGTGAAAGGAATTGTTTCCCTAATTTCTCTCTCAGTAAGTCTGTTATGTGTGTACAAAAAGGCTATTGTTTTGTTTTGTTTTTTGGTACTGGGGATCGAACTTGGGACCTTGCGCTTTCGAGGCAGGCAGCAGAACCACTGAGCTAAATCCCCAGCCAGAAGGCTATTGATTTTTGAGTGTTGACCTTGTATCCAGCTGCTCTACTGAATCTGTCAATTAAGTCTAGAAGTCTTTTGGCAGAGTTTTTTTGGTCTTCTATGTAGAGTATCGTGTCATCTGCAAATAGTGACAGTTTAACTTCTTCGTTTCCTATCTTTATTCCTTTTATTTCTTTCTCTTGTCTAGTTGCTGTGGCTAATGATTCCAGAACTATATTGAACAGGAGTGGTGATAGTGGGCATCCTTGTCTTGTTGCTGATTTTAGTGTGAAAGTTTTCAGTTTTTTAACATTTAGTATGATGCTGGCTGTTGGTTTTTCATAGATAGCCTTTATCAGGTTAAGATAAAGACCTTCTATTCCAATTTTCTGTAGGGTTTTTATCATGAATTTAACCACCTACATTTTTAGCCTCATAGCTGGCTCTTTGCAAACGAATAAAAAATAAATGTATTCCTTCACCTTCCACAAGCTTTCTGTTTCTCCATAATTATGGAATAATTTTAGATGACTGCTAATAGTCTTCTTTGAACAAGACTGGAACTTTTTATACTGAACATACACGTGAGGTATGTAATTTAGTGTTGGGAACCTGAAATTCAGTTAGTTAATTCAGTTCATTATTCTGTAAATGAGTTTGTTTTTAGTGCAATAATTTTTTATTGGCTTAGTTATAGTTTGTAATTTGAGGTTTAAAAGATAATATAATTGTGTTAACTTGGGAAATATGTTTTGTACCTGTACGGCTACTTACATAGACCTTTTAAGATATTTTAAAGGCTTCTGCAGGTTTCCTTTACCTACTATTTAGAAAAAAAACCCTTTTTATCAACAATCTTCAATACAGAAGTAAATTTTATTTGTAGCTATCCTGAAGCAGTTTTCTAACAGGGTATCTTGAAATTTCAAACAGGTTGTAAGAAGATATATTCTGGGTTCCATTGTTGAAAGTGAAAAAAACTACGTAGATGCTCTTAAGAGGATTTTGGAGGTACCTAACTGTCATGTTATATGATATGTACATGTTTGTTAATGTTTTTATACATACATAATTTTGTTATAGGTTTTACATGCACATATATTATGAGCATAAAACATGCAAATTTGGAAAGTCTTGAAGAATTTTGGCTGTGTATTGGCATCAAAAGCCATGTGATTTGTTTTGAAATAAATTTCACTTACCCGAACGGATCCTTGCATATTCTTTTACCTCCCTTTAACATGTCTGGCCCAGCAATACGAGAAGCCGCTGTCTGAGATGGAGCCCCGGGTCCTGAGTGAGAGGAAGCTGAAGATGGTGTTCTACCGTGTCAAGGAGATCTTGCAGTGCCACTCCATGTTCCAGATCGCACTGGCCAGCCGTGTGGCTGAGTGGGACGCCGTGGAAACCATCGGCGATGTCTTCGTGGCTTCGGTAACTCAGCTGGGGCTCCCGGTGGTCCCTGGCTCCGTGTGCCTGTTGTCTTTGCCCTCGGGCTGATGTTTAGCACTGCTGTGTGGCCTCCACTGGGCTTAGGGCCACTTTCCAGGGAAGTCGAGGGACACTTGCGGGGATGAGGACAAAGATGTGTCAGGAAAGATCTATAGGTGCACACTTTGTCAGGTCTTAGAAGCAACATTAGACAACCTGGTAATGCTTTTCTTGCTAAACAAGGGCCCTGCTTGCTTATGATACTACGAAATTGTCATATCAGCCCCTTGGGCCAGGTCCTGGCTTCCAGGCCTAGTCTCACTTTCTGAATGCAGAGTTCTCCATGTATAGGAACAATAGAAAAGGGTGGGAAATACCCAGATGTTTCCATCATTGTTGTGTGGCCCTCGCTCCGGCCCTGCACGGGCACACAGGAATTCAGTGTTGGGACAGCTTGCCTTAACGCTTCCTGGCAGGAGAAGCAGATGCCTGGAAACAGCCACGCCAAGTTTCTGTGTCAGCAGTTCTGAGCCATTTCATCTCTGCTCCCCCTGTGAACTGTACATGTTGCAAAAGGGTTAGATTTCTGCCAAAGTGCAGAAGCTTGTGGCTAACACACATTGGTTTCTGTAGTTGTTTAGGATAATGCCATTGAGGGGTATAAGCTTGGATTTTTTTTTAAGTATTGATGTACTTAAATAAATGCTCTGATAATGAAAACAGTGAAACCTTGGTTCTATATAATTTGTGTGCTTGATGAAGGATCTCAGTGTGCAGGCTGCTTTGAAGATAATGAGGAAACAAGGTTCTTTACTAAGATGTTTGCATGATATCCTTCATGGATTCTCACGACAAACAAAAAAGGAAATACTGGTTATTTGCTTTTTACATTTCCTACCTATGCTATACATTAGCTTCACAGTTACCTTGGAAACTTTATTTTTGTGCCTGTGTGGTACTGGGGATGGAACCTAGGGCCTTTGCACTGAGTGAGCTATCCCTTTTTATTTTTTATTGTGAGACAGGGTCTTATCAGGTTGCCTGGGCTGGGCTTAAACTTACAGTCCTCCAGGCTCCAGGTTCACAGAGTGTGGGGATCACAGGGATGTGCCACCACATCTGGTTAGAAACATGTTTTAGAATGGAAAAACTCTTAAAAAAAAAAAAAAACAAGACTAGGTGAAAGCATGACTTGTCAGTGGCAGCCACAATATACTGGCTGCACGACAGAGCCCCAGCAAGCTTGCAGGAGGGCAGAAGTCCCTGCAGTCCCGGGAGCCAACCCTGGGAGGAGGCATGGTACAGAGATGTCCCGCTGGGGCAAGTTTCAGATCCTCAGAGTTAGCTTGAGGGGTGTGTGGACTCTGGGTCACTTTCTTCTCTGTCTCTGTTCAGTTTTCCAAGTCCATGGTGCTGGATGCGTACAGTGAGTATGTGAACAACTTCGGCACCGCAGTGGCCATCCTCAAGAAGACGTGTGCCACAAAGCCCACTTTTCTCGAGTTTTTAAAGGTAATCACAGCTTCTGGTTGTTTTTAACACCCTCGTATAGTGAGTTCCAGGTCAGAGCACCTCACACTGAGGCCGCGCCAACTTGCGCCTCTAGCACATGGTGATGTTCTTCAGAGCAATCTCAGTACGATGACCAGAGCCCTCACACTGGTGTCTGCTGCGAATGCAGATGAATTTTAAGCCCTATTGAAGCCTTTTGAGAGTAGCTTTTCTTCGTCCATCCTTAAAAGTGTATGGAGAGGTGAATGGACAGAGAGCAAGAAAGGGTCTGTCCCCAGAGTGGCCTCGGGCTGCCTGTCCTGGCACCGAACTGGGAATAACAGAAGCCTAGCATCTAGGGTCGGGTTGGAAAGTGGGCTCCTCAGTCAGAGCAGCAACCAGAGGCCTGGAGAGGCGATCCTTGACCCTAGACCCTTGGCCCTCGGAAGCCCTGGAGTAGGAGCCCAGGGTGGACCTTTGTCCTCCAGGAGTCACAGAGAGAGCCAGAGGCCACTTGGTGTGGCAGTGGCAGCCTGAGAGGCACAGGAGGAGCTGCTGCCTGCACCAGATTAACCCCCCTTGGGGGACCAGCCACCCGGCTCAGAGTTCATTTGCGTCATGAAGGCTGGGAGCAGAGTGTATTCTCTGGCCGGGCTGTGTTCTTAGAAACCTCTGCAGCCTGGGGTGGGGAGCACAGGGTGGATCCTGCCAGCAGCAGTTTGGCCAGGATGTTTTCCCTCCCTTTCTTATTACCACAGTGGTCCCTGCTGCTCCTGGCCCACTGAGGCTCCACAGTGATTAAATCCCAGCCCCGGCCTGGGGAGAAACGGTTCTCTGTGCTTCAGCCATCACCAGAGAGCACGAGCCAGTGGGGCATTTACTTCCTCAGAGGGTTTGTTAGCGCCTCGCTGAGGGTGTGGTGCCCATGCAGCCCCCAGTGCCAGCGGCTGAGCCATGCCCTGCTATCGCTGCACTGTGCCCCCCAGGGTCAGGACCACCCCACAGCCCTGGGGGCCCGTGGCCAGGCCACTCAGCAGGCTGGTGATGTCTGGGAGGCTCAGAGAGCAGCAGAAGAGGTGGCAGGACAGGTTCCCGGACACTGGGAACTCCCCGCTAGCAAGCTGTGGCCCCGCCGTGGGGCAGGCCGTGGGGCCAGAGGAAGCGTCTCCCACACCTGGTGACGTTTCCTGTCCATGAGCTGAGGACGGTATCCAGCCTGCCGCGGCGAGTAAGCCTCCTTTCCCACAGCAGAGCCAGGAGGCGAGTCCCGACCGTGTCACGCTCTGCAGCCTGATGATGAAGCCCATCCAGCGATTCCCGCAGTTCATCCTCCTGCTCCAGGTGAGGCCCGAGTCTGTCCCCCTGGGAAGAGCACAGGCCTCATCCAGAGGCTGCCCAAGTGCCCTGGCCAGTTCCCTCGGTGCCTGCACAGGCTGGCAGGGCACGGTCACACAGGCCTCGCAGGTGGTGGCCCCTTCCCTGACAGGCCAGTGGTGGTTCAGAGTCACGAGGGGAAGCGGTAAGCTCCTTTGTGCCTGGGGGTTGGGCAGGTGTGGGAAGCCAGGGGCAGATTCACCAAATGATGCCGCTTTTGCTGTCCCTCCCTGGATGCTGTGGCACAGCCAGCCCAGCGGAGCTCTGTGCCCAAGTGTCGGCTCTGCCCCAGCCCCAGCTGCTCTCTGTCACGCTCTGGCCCTGGGTGCCGAGGTGCTGAAGCTCGGTTCTGTTTCGTGGATGGAACCTGACACGACTGCCAGGCACGGATGCACAGAGGAGTGTGTGTTACTCAGCAGGCTGGAGACCTTGCTTCCCCGGGCGGCCTTCCCTCCCGAGATGCACCACCGAGCTGAGCGGCTGAGCTGCTGACACCCCTGCAGGATGCGGGCCACGTTGGGTTCTGAGGGAGGAGGATTCAGACCGTGCCTGTCTTCTTCAGCCAGCGTCACTGTCCCAGGCGAGAGCGCTGGCAGCACAAGGCCTGTGTGCCGACCAGGTGGCGAAGATGGCTCTCACTTCCTGCTCTTTACAATTCACGCAGCACCAGTCCTTCCCGGCCCGGTGTTGCCCTGCCCAGTGGCTTCCCATGATGCCTCTTGCTTTCCTGGTCTTCAGACATGGATGGAAAAAGACTTGGCCTCCCTGTTTTGTGAATATGTATTTTTAGATCCGTTTCAGGCTCACAGGAAACTGAGAGGGAGGCGGAGTCCCCCTGCCCCTTCCAGCCCCTGCATGGCTGCCCCTGCCCGTGCCATGCAGGGCGGTGTGTTTGTCACGTGGTGTCCTGCGCTGCCACGGCGTCATCTCCCAGAGCACATGGCTTCTGTGAGGCTTGCTTGGTGCTAGGCCTGGCATCCGCCCCCACAGAACACCTCGGGGCATTCAGGTGGGCTCCAGACCACTGTGAACGACTCACCTTGGTCCCCAGTGCACACACCGTGCCACACGGCACCACGTCTGCACTTGAGTAGTGTGCAAAGCATCACGTCTGGAAAACGGTTGGAACCAAGGGCAGCTCCTCACCTGCTGAGGTCTGGCCGTGAGGTGGCCACAGGTACATCCCTCCTCAGGCTCCCTGCTGACCTGGGCCCCTGCTGTGTGCACCACACCTGCAGTCCTTCCTCCACTGAGGTCTGCACCCTGCACGTCCTCCACGAGGGTTGGGGTCCATGCTCCTGCTCTCCGGTCGGTGCTGGAGTTGACGTCCTACAGGTCACAGGGTTCTAGGGTAGCATCTAGGGTGTGAATCCCTCCCCAGAGCTTTCCTGCTTGCTTTGCCAGACTTGCCAGAGCAGCCAGTGTCTGTGCTGGCTGTAGCTTTACCAGAAGGGTCGCTTGAGAAGTGAGAGCCGAGTGTCAGAGCCACTGTCTGACCCCTGACCCGAGGCTGCAGAGCTCCCTCAGAGAGGAGAGGCCATGGAGCCTTGTCACTGAGTGGGATATTTAGAAAGGGTCTCTCTAGGAGTGGATCTCTGAGGGGGCTTAAGTGTTGGAAAATCACATCCTAAACAGGTTGTTTACAGAGCACAGGCAGAGTACACTCAGCATGACTCAGGAGCAGTGGGTTTTCAGGCAGTAAATGAGCATGGCTGCAGCTTAAAGCTACAGCTGTGCACAGGAAAGCCAGCCTGGCTTTGAAGCTCTGAAGCCAGGCGCTGACTCCTCTCTCGCTGCAGAGGCCTTGCTGGCCTCTCCCCCTGGGCAACAGCTGTTGCGGCTGTCTTGCAAGGCCCCTGTTGAGTGGGCCCGGATTACCAGCAGTGTCCACTACACCCCTGGGGAGCCAGCTGCTGTGTCCCTGCCACACTTGTGGCTCCTGCCCACACTTGGACGTTCTGGGCACCGCCTTCTCCTAAAGTGGCAGGAGCTGCCTCTGCCCTTTGGGCTTCTGGTGCAGCCCTCCTCACCTCTCAGCTGGGGTGGAGCCAGGTGTGAGGCTCTCTGGGTAGGCTCAGTCAGGGTGGGGGTGCAGGCCTCCTGCACACCAGCACAAGGCTGCGTGATCCGCCTGGTAGCGCTGCTCCTCCCTCCAGGGACTTCCTCTCACGTCCCCAGCTGGTGGGCTGCCGCGGGAGGCTTCCACGTCGGCAGTCCTGTCTCCATGCACCCTCTGCTCTGCTTCACCACCTCTAGTTTTTTATCTGAAGGAAAGGACACTTCTGTCCTTCGGTAGGGTTCTTGGCTGGCCTGATTCACTAGTGTGGGGAGGACGCCCGGGGAGGGAGACAGACGGGGTGGCTGATTGGTCGTGGAGCAGGCAGTGCACATGTCTCTTGAGTTCAGGTCATGCTGGGTGTGGTTCATGGGCCCCAGAGCAATTAGAACAGACATCAAAGCTCACCCTCCACAGATCCCTCAGGAGCTGAACCCCAAGGAAGTGTGTGAGGGGCTGAGAATTCCCAGTGAGACCCGGCGTGTACTTCCGGGAAAGACTGGTGCACTTGTGGCCTCCGTCTTTAGGGCAGAGCAGAGAAGGTCCCCTGGGGAGCCAGGGCCCTTTCGGGGCGGCACAGCATGGAGCTCTGCCGGGCAGAGGACATACACTCCCCGTGGGCCCTGCTGGACACTGGTGTTTGCAAACGCAGCTCCTCCATGTGTGGTGCCGTGGTCTGGCTCTGACACACTGCTGTGTGCAGTGCCCCTTGGGGGAGGAGCTTGCTCTTGGGCTGCTGGGTACTCAGCCCAGGGGTGGCTCAGCCGCTGCCACCCTCGTGCCAACCATGGTCCTGGCAGCAGTTGACGCCGCCCGCCTGCTCTCCTGGGCTGCAGCTGGGGCGTGCGAGTGGTCAGCACCCCGTTGTGCCTCTCACTCCCAGGACATGCTGAAGAACACCCCCCGAGGACACCCCGACAGGCTGCCCCTTCAGATGGCGCTGACAGAGCTGGAAACCTTGGCAGAGAAGTTAAACGAAAGGAAAAGAGATGCCGATCAGCGCTGTGAAATCAAACACATCGCAAAAGCCATCAACGAAAGATACCTAAACAAGGTGGAGAGAGGTTTTTCCAACCCTTGCTGAATTGCCTTTTCTTTCTCCTAATAAGCCAGTGTTGTTTCAGCCACTGCTTCCTAACCACTTGGAATGAGCCCTCCAGCCCGAGGTTCTAGCGAGGCTGCTGGGCACTGCAGGCGGCTGATGGGATTGGAGGGCTGTGCAGTCCTTTGCAGAGGGCTTCATAGATTCATAGACTCCTCAAAGGTTAAGGCCAACTCTTTTTCCAGTACTGGGGGTTGAACCCAGGGACTTTGCACTGAACTACATCCCCAACCCTTTTTATTTTTGTTTTACTGTGAGACAGTCTTGTGAAGTTGCCTAGGGTGGACTTGAACTTTCGATCCTCCTGCCTCGCTCAGCCTCCTGAGTGCTGGGATTACAGGCATGGCCAAGAGCATCCGTTTTAGCTGCACTTCAGCCCACTGTCCTGTGCTGGCTCCCGTGTGGTCATGAGAGGGTGCTGCAGAGCACAGAGGGCTGCTCACAGGCCATGCGTGTTTCAGTCTCCTGTGCCACACGCTGATCACGTGTGGCTGTTCTGTATCTGCTTCAGGAGGTGTCGACTTACATGTGCCATGTTAAGTAATTATGTGTGATATTCATGGCTGCTAAAGTCACATTTTATTCTCGTGGCGATTTCCTTCTTGGTCATGACATTCAATAATTTAACTGTGGCAGCTTTAAAAAATACAACTTAAGCAGTAGTTGCTGGGATTCTCCAGATGATGTGTGGGAATTTTGGAGGGTGGAACTGTGGCCGCTGGTTTTCTGGATGCAGAAGAGCCTCCTCCTGTGGCTCTCACCCGTCTGCACGTGTGCTGCAGGGAGGAGGGTTGCATAGGCTGCCAGGCTGCGTTGGCACTGATGGCAGAGCCAGGCGGTCACACGGTGGCTGGGGCGCTGCGGTTTCCTGTTGGCCCCATGGTTAGACACGACTGCATGCCGTGTCTTCCCAGAGGACTCTGAGTTCTCCTTAGCTCAGGGAACAGAGGGGCAGACGAGCAGGGGTTTGAGATGCTGCCTTCACACTGGAAACTCAGTCACAGGTTGAATAATCTCTTCCGCTGCTCGTAGGTGTGGGGCAGGTGGGGCTGGAGGGCAGCGAGACTGGGTGAGCGATGGAGGAAGGAGGCGGAAGGCGAGGGGAGCCAGTGTCTGGCCTGGGACCCGTCACTGGTCAGCATGATGGTGAGCACCAAAGTCTATAAAACGTTTAGTTTAAGAAGTCCCGTCCTAGCCAGGCGTGGTGGCGCATGCCTGCAATCCCAGCACTTGGGAGGCTGAGGCAGGAGGATCGCTGTGAGTTCAAGGCCAGCCTGGGCTGCATAGTGAGACTGTCTCAAAAAAGTTGGACAAGAAAAGGTTCAGAACCCACACAACCCTCCTTGAGGAGTGGCAGGAGGACATGGGTTACCTGGTGCTGAAAACCGCCTCTGTGAGCACCGGCCTCGACTGTTCTCTTTGGGCGGGTGCAGTTGTAACCTCAGCGTTCTGCACTCAGCTCCTCTGCAGCGGGAGCCGACGCCTCATCCGCTCTGACGACGTGATAGAGACAGTGTACAACGACAAGGGCGAGATCACCAAGACCAAGGAGCGCCGGCTGCTCATGCTGAACGACGTGCTCATGTGCGCCACCGTCAGCTTCCGGTAAGAGCTGCGGCTGCTGAGCGTACCTGCGTGCGTGCGTGCCGGGGCCAAAGGCCCTCGCGCAGGCCGAGCCGCCTGTGTCCCGATGGGTCCCTGCGGGTGGAGTTGTGCGCGCGCCCTCTTCCGAAGAGGCTGGAGCTTGTCTGGAGCTTGTCGGCCACCTCCAGGCCTCCTGTGGTTCTCGGAGGCTCTCCAGGCTACTGAGCTGCGTCGGTGAACGCGTTGGCTGATACGCTCGGTGTAAACCCGGAAGACAGGTAGCGCTGCTCCCTTCCTTTGCTCCCGACTGTGGACGTCGGGGCTGTTCCCTGCGCAGGCGTGCGGAGCCCTGCAGTAGGGGGTCTGGCTCGAGGCGAGAGCTAACACTGTCGGTGCCCGCTGCATAACACGCCTGCGTGCGGCCCTCCTGTGCCCCTGGGAGTCGGGGCCAGGCCCGGCCAGGCCCTGTTTGGGAGCCTGAGCTGGTCCGTGGGCGTCTGAACAGCGGAGACTGGGTGACGCCACAGCCGGACCCTCTGCTCCCAGAGCTCGGGAGGGCTCGCCAGTGCCCTGCCAGTCACATCCTCCTGTCGCTGCCACAGAGTCCCAGCAGAGAGGAGGTGCACTGGACACCACAGCCTGTGCCATGGCAGACTCCCCAGCCCAAAGTTCAGCTCCGCCGTCCTACAGCTTTGAAAACCACCTTCTTTGTAGGCCTCAGGCTCCTGGCCTGTAAAACAGGAACGGTGATTGCCAAAGCTCCGGTGATGGTGGTGATCCCGGTACCTGGCCACGTCCTCGTGGGGACGGAGCGGGGGTGTGCAGCGAGACTCCCTGCTGTTCCTCAGGGTCCTGGGCATTTCTCAGCAGCTACAAAATCAGCCTGAAAAACGCCATTATCATGATATGAGGCCCCCCCTTCAGTGAAGAATCCTGTTGGTTTGATCATGGCTTCGGCCTAGCTGTTATAGAACTGGCTCCTGTGATAGCCTCGTGTCCCTGTGTCTCTGTCACTCCCAGTGCCTGTGTGCAGAAATAATCTGGTGATATCCAGCTTTGGAGATGTGTATCTGCTCAATGTTATGGTAAAAGAAGAAAGTATTTAGGTCACGTTTTCTGGTTTAATTTTTACATTTTCAATAAGTACTTTAATCACGGAGTACAGTGCCTTAGTTCTGTCCCAAAGGTGATAATGTAACCGCGTGAGGTACGGAAGGAGCTCAGGGTTAACACCTGTGCAGCAGGCAGGGTCACTACCCAGGGAAAATACTTTTCCCATTAGTGCCGTTCCCCAGACACCTGAGCTTCCAGGGCCAGGTTACCCCAGAGCGAGCGTGCAGCTCGGCACCTTCCCGTCCATCTGCCGCAGGAACCACCAGCCTCCCAGGACGTGGCCGCTGTGTCCTCCTGGGAAGGGTTTCACTCTCCCTTCGATGGGGCCCCCAGGACCAAGCCAGCTGTAGCTGTCCAGAAGGAAGGAAGTCTGATGAGAGTTCTCTCCTGCGGTGTTATGACATGGTCATGTGTTCATGTGATCCCAGGATCAGAGAGTTCCTTCCTACAGTGCCATGTTGTGGTCATGTTTCTGTTCCGGAAATAATGTTTGGGCGGTTTCAGCCCCTCACAGGAGAGCCACGTGGGAGCCAGCCAGCGGTACCTGCTCAAGTGGAGTGTTCCCCTGGGCCACGTGGAAGTGATGGAGTACAGCAATGGCCCCGGCATAGGGGAGCACAGCCGGCACCCCGCCGTGCACCCGCCTGAGAGCCTGGCTGTGTCTGCTAACGCCAAGCCATGTAAGTGACATGTCTACTGGCACTCCCGAGAGCCATGTCATGGGCTCGGTGGGGCTGGCCCTGATGCCTCACTCCTGAGGCTAATGGGGGAGTCTGTCCCATAGTGCACCGGGGCCCTTGTTTTGTGCTGACTTCGGTGGCCAAATAGACTGCGGATCTTAGGACATCTGTTGGGAAGACAGACTTCTGAAGTGAGTGAGGTCCCCCAGCTCAGCTCCCGGGCTGCGTTCCAGCTCTCGAGGACCGGGTCACCACTCTCCAGCACCCATCACGGCAGCAGGAATCGCAGGCTGCAGACACGCAGACTCCACTCTGTGGCACGTCTGCAGCTGATGAGTTCCCAGGTTCTTCTAAGCTAGTACTTCTGTGAGCTTCACAAAGGGAACTGAGGAGTAACTGGACTATGGTGAAGGAGAACTTTAAATAAACATCATATATTAAATGGGATCAGCCTTTCAGATTAATTTGTTTCTGACCTGTTCAGAAGCAGGAAAGCAACTTTGAAAACGTTAGTCTTTCTGGTTGAATGTGTACATTCACCTGGATTTTCAGGAGCAGGATGTAATGATTATTAGGTCTAATTTTATGAAAGTTCTTACTTGTTTATTCTCCTGAGGTTAATAACCAACCATTTAGTTTGGTAACTTGCTTAGTAGGCTAATTCTTTTTTTTGGTACCTGGGATCAAACTCAGGTTCTTGCACTTGCGGGACAGGCAGCAGAACCACTGAGCTAAACCCCAGCCTAGTAGGCTAATTCTTTGTGAGCATGATATTACCGTCATTAACGTTGTGAATTTCTGGCAACTAAACCGAACTCCAGTTTAAGGTCATGTGCACCTTTAACCCCGTCAACTAATCAAAGTGCCAAATGACCTGGATTTTCAGCGACCAACGTACAAAAGCCTGGGTGAGAGGCAGGTGGAGGAAAGAAGAGGACAGGGGGATTTTCCATGTGACACAGTTCATTAAAATTCTGTTCGGGGGAAATTGCGTATCTGTTCAAAGGTCTTAAAAGTGCTTGTAAATCATTTGCAAGTGATCTTCGTCTTTGTTTTCGGAACAAAGATGACTGTGTGGTTTATGATGCTAGCAATCTTTTTGTTGCTGTTGTTACCAGGGATCGAACTCAGGGACCTTGTGCTTGCATTTCTTACATTTCTTGCTCTTTTATTTATGGAAAACTGAGCTCACTGAGAGTATGACTAGAGTCAGGTGGCAGCGGTTCAGTCAGCTGCGCTGAACCTGACTTCTGCTGTGCCTGGGCCGGGGTGTCCTTGAGGTTTCCACCGGCTGCAGTGGGATTGGCTCCAAGCCCGCCTTGCTCTCACTGTGAGTGGAGCGTGGTTGCTTTCTCCTTCAGCATCCAGGAGAACTTGGCCACTGTGTCCTGAGCTGTGCAGCACTTGGAACCTGGTAGCAGGCATGTGATTGCAGGTCCACGCGAAGGCACGATCTGGCCTCAGCGAGGCCGTTTTTCACAGGACATCTTGTACGCTGCCCTCAACAGCACAGCCTTAGTTCTGCCTTCACTGGAGATTTGCTCAGCTGCATTGGCTGGGTTGGGATCTGCCTTGGCTGTAGCATACCTGCTCTGTGTTTCTTCCTGGTACGAGGGTTGGGTGCCATGTTTGGTGATGGGCACGTGTGGTGTATTATTGTGTCTTTGTTCTGAGAATGAAGGTAGGTATAGAAAAGCTTGGTCTGAATTAGTTCCTCTCTGATTTTGCTGGTCTTTGTGGTTTGCCCTCTGGCTTTATATCCTAGCAGGTGCTCAGTAAATGTCAGATGAATGAAAAGAAAAACGCAGTTACCAGTCAGTGTCCCCTTTTCCTTAAGTAGAGTCTTTCCAGCTATCCATGGATCAAAGGCCTGTGCCCACCCAGTGCTGTGTGCTGTGGCCCCAGATGAATCAGATGAACAGGGACTAGGCGTTCTCCAGCTTAGTGTGGAAGCGGACAGACATGAACACACAAATGCTACACACCGTGACACGTCCCGTAATAGAAGCAAAGACAAAGTACGTTGGCAGCTCGGAAGGAGACAGTGTTCTCAGAGAAGACAGCTGTAAGACTAGATGCTGAGAAGGCGAGGGCTCAGCAGATGGAGACGGTGTCCTGCCTGGCGCGCCACCCGAGTGCCCAAGGCAGGTGGCTGCTGGGCTGGGCCGGCCGATTGCTGCCTGGCCTGGGAGCTCCTGGAGGAGCTGGGGCTCAGGGAGCCGAGGCCAGTCCGGGTGGCGGACAGTCCCTCTGGTCTGGGGCTGTGGTCGTTTGGTTTCTCCCTGGGATCCAGTTCCACCCATAGGGACATAAACTGGAGGAGACTGGTGCCGTCCTCCAACCGATGTGCCATCCGTGAAGTCTTCAGCTGTGGTTTCACAATGGCCTGTTGCTACTGTCTTTAAAGAAAAGGATGATTTGAGTGCTAGGCCTTGTGGGTGTTATTTCCCTCCAACTTCTTGAGGTTATTTAACAGGTACAGTTGTGGGCCGGGGATTTAGCTCAGTGGTTCCACCGCCTGCCTTGCAAGCCCAAAGAGTTCGCTCCCCGGTACCAAAAAACCAAGTTCAGTTGTGCAGTGTGATGCAGCTGGTACCTGTCCGTGCTGAGACGTGATTACACCGCTGAGTTGGTTGGCACGTGGACCATCTTGAAGTTTTGGTTTATATTGGTTTTGATTTGTCTGGTTTTACTTTTTGTTGGTGAGACGTTTAAGATCTACTGTCTCAGTGAATTTCAAGCGTACGCTCGTTGCCATGCTGCAGATTGGATCCCAGGACATGCTCGCTCATCTTGCCTGACTAAGCGCTTGTGCCCTGTGACTTACACCTCTGCCGACCCCTCAGCACGCCCGCCTGTGGGGACCGCCCCCGGTTCTTTTCCCGCAGTTCACCTCCAAGTGGGGCTGCAGGTCGGCCTTCTCTGAGTGGCCTCTGTCACTTCACGTAGTGGACTCACCCACCTCGTCACAGCCGGGAGGGCTCCCTTCTTTTCTGGGGCTGGGTAGTGTGTGTGTGTGTCTGTGTGCATGTGTACTTGCGTATCACATTGTCCTTGCCCACTAACCTGTCAGTGGGTGCTCGGGTCAATTCTGTACCTCAGCTGCTGTGGGAATGCGGTGATGACACCCACTGTGTCCCCCAAGAGTGTCCCGCAGCGGGCCTGGGCCTGGACCTGGGAGGATCTACCTGCATCCTCTCCAGGGCGCTCTCTGGCTTTGCCACTCCCTGCATTTCTGCTAATCTTTCTCATTTTCGTCTTTCTCCTAACTTTGGGTGTACTTTCTCTTTGTCTTTGCGTTGCAAAGTTGGGTTGTTTATTAGCGATGTCTCTTTTTTTCTTAATTAAAGTGATTATAAACTTTACTCATAGAACTGCTTTTGCCACATGTCGTGTGTTGTGGTGTATTTGTCCTGAGGCATGTTTTATCCCCTTTGTCTTTCTATGCGGGGACACACACGGGCCTCGAACCCAGAGCCCCTGCTAAGTTGCTAAGTTGCCCGGGCGCCCAGGCTGGGCTTGAACTCGTGACCTCCTTGCGCCAGAGCCCCCAAGTGCTGGGGTTACAGACGTGTGCCCCGCGCCTGGCTCTCCTCTCCCTCTTGACATTCTTCCTTGACCCATTGCTCGTTGAGGAGTGTGCTGTTCAATTTCTACGTATTTATAAACTTTCCAATGCTTCTCTTGCTGTTGGTTTCTAATTTCATACCATTGTGTTTGGGGAAGGTCCCCGATAAGATTTTGGAGACTTGGCCTCTCCTGGAGAGTCCCCACTTCCCCCGTACACTGCAGAGGCATACGAGCCTGGTGTGTGGTAGGCAGAACTCTGCGTGTGCCTGTGGGGTCCACTGCCAGCTTTCTGTGTGGGTGGTCTGCCCAGCGTCACCGTCTCCTTGGAGGCGTGCACTCTGCTGTTCCCCTTTTAGCTCTCTCAGCTCTCGCTCTGTGGGGGTGTGCCTGTGTGCAGCTGTGTCTTGTTGGTGAGCGGCTCCTTCATCGTTGCGTGGCCCGGGGTGCCTCCCATGCCCCTTTGCCCCTCTGTCCTTCAGGCATCTTCCCACCCTTCGCCCTCCTCTCTTGCCAGTTCTGCTGAAGAACTAACGCCCTTTGCGTTTGTGGGAGGCAGATCCAGGGATGATAAACTCCTTCAGCTTGTGCTGGTCTGAGGACGTCTTTCTTTCTGAAGGACACCTTTGCTGGGCATGATTCTGCCAGTTTGGAATACATGAGATGTAAGTGAAAAATGCAGTGAGTGTTTGTACCATGAAAGTGTGTCACCATAAGGACACGGTGCCATGACCCCACCCCACAGTGACACCCTCCCTTCAGTACACTTGCCTCATGGTTCTCACTGCTTCGGAAGCGCTTCTGGGGTTTTCTTTTGTGAGAGTCTTTAGGAGATGTGATCAAAGATACAGTCATGCTTCCGCCTCGTGCCGGCCGGGGAAGAGCAGGCTTGTGAAAACACAGCACTGGTCCTCATCCACCTTCTTCGCCAGATCTGGCACCGTGAGACTCCTGGAAAGGCCAGCATTTTGAGTCGATTCAGGACATTGAAGCTGCCACAACGGCGCAACTAAAGACGCAGTGTGTGTCACCCCTGTCTCCTGGCTTGCAGAGTCTCTGTTGGGAAATCTCCTCATATTATGGGTGCATCCTTGCATTTGACAAGTTGTTTCTCTTTCTGCCTCCAAAATTCTGTCTTTGCCTTTCAACAGCCTGGTAGGTGTCTCAGTGTACACTTTTGGTTTTTTTGAGACAGGGTCTTGCTATGTAGTTCAGGGTGCCCTTGAGCTCACTCTGTAGTCCAGGCTGGCCTCAACTTCATGGTGATCTTCCTGCCTCAGCCTCCGAGAGCTGGGATTACAGGCGTGCGCCACCACCCCCAGCTGTAGTCCAGGCTGGCCTCAAACTCATATTGGCCTTCCTGCCTCACCCGCCTGAGTACTAGGATGGCGGGCATGGCATCAACGCTTTCTCCCCAAATTTAGGGAGTTTTC